ATTTCACGGGTGGCTGATCCCAGTGCTCTCCAGTTTGGGATTTTCCATGCTGGAGTTTCATGGGTGGCTGATCCCAGTGCTCTCCAGTTTGGGATTTTCCATGTTGGAGTTTCACGGGTGGCTGATCCCAGTGCTCTCCAGTTTGGGATTTTCCATGCTGGAGTTTCACGGGTGGCTGATCCCGGTGCTCTCCACAGGGGTGATGCCGAAGCACGGCCTGGACGTCTCCGCCTGTGAAGTTTTCCGTTTCTACAAACTCATCACCCTCAAGGGGCTCATCGAGCCCATCTCCATGATTGTCCCGAGGCGGGTGAGTCCTGGGATGTGGGAATGAGCGGGATCCGGAATGTTCCAGCGACTCCGGAGCCGTGGACATGCCCCACTTTGGCCAATCCCATGCATGGCTCTGTCCCCACCATCCCTGGATCCCTCCATCCTTACTCATCCCATGGAATTTCAACCACAATTTAACAGGAATGTCTTGAGGGAATGTTTCTCCAAGGGGTTGGTCTCACTTGAGTTTTGGGAAATATCTCTTGGATCGGGGTTTTCTGGGAAGCAAATCCAGCTGCTGGCCAGGGCTGGGTGGAGGATGCGATTCAAGGTTCTCTTCTCCAGCCAGCACTTCCAAAATCTCCTCACTGTGCCTGGATTTTCCCAAATATCCCGGTGTTTATTCTGTCTGTGGGGCAGGGAATTACTCCTCAATTCCCAGGGAGGGGATTCCCAGTTCCCACTGCTCTTCTCTTCCCATTTTCCCAGTCGGAGACGTACCAGGAGGACATTTATCCCATGACTCCGGGGACGGAGCCGGCCCTGACCCCGGATGAGTGGCTCAGTGGGGTCAACAGAGGTAAACCCACCAGGGGATATCCCAAAAATATCCGGGATGTGGGAAAAGGCCACCACATCCCGCTGATCCGCCGGCTCTCCCGCAGATCCCATCCTGGTGTCGCTGAAGGAGGGATACAAGAAGAATTCCAAGATCGTCTTCAAGGCGCCGGTGAGGGAGAAGAAAAGCGTGGTGGTCAACGGGATCGACCTCCTGGAGAACGTCCCGCCCCGCACCGAGAACGAGGTGGGGCAGCCCTGGAGTGGGAATGGGAATGGGATCTGGGGGATGAACCTGGAAAGGCACCGTGTGCCGGTCTCCATCCCAAGGGAGGCAGGAACATGGGATTCCTCCAGGGATGGGATCCCAGGATCTATTCCATGACCTTTTCCCATGGTGAGAACCTGGCACTCTTCCCAGGGTGGGATCCTGGGATCCATCCCATGACCCTTTCCCGTCATGGACACCTTCCACTGTCCCAGGCTGCTCCAGCCTGGCCTTGGACACTTCCAGGGATTCAGGCGCAGCCACAGCTTCTCTGGAAATTCCATCCCAGCCCCTCTCCACCCTCCCAGCTGGGAATTCCTTCCCAAAATCCCATCAAAGTCTCCCATCCTTCAGTTCAAATCCATCCCTTGTCCCCAGAATCAGCCAAGTTTTACAGCCCATTCCCAGCATGGATCTGGCAAATCTGGGATGAGTTGATGTGATCCCACCAGCTCCATCCCTTCATCTCCATCCTTGTTTTCCAGCTGCTCCGGATGTTCTTCCGGCAGCAGGACGAGATCCGGCGGTTGAAGGACGAGCTCTCGCAGAAGGACATTAGGATCCGGCAGCTGCAGCTGGAATTAAAGAACTTCCGGAACAGCCCCAAGAACAATTGACTCCAGGGACGTTTTCTAAAGAAATTCCTTTGTTTCTACTCCTGAATTCCTTGGATCCACTCACCCAGAACACAATTCCGGAGTCCGCGGCTGCCAAGAGCTGGAATCACGTCCTGCGCGTCTTGTCCGGCACTAATCCCGCTCTAACCTGATTCCTGGGAAAGCCTGGAGGCTCCCAGTACGTCGGAGCCGTGTCCTGTCCGTTGGGATGAGCCAGCCCGGGCGGATTCCCGGGAAAGCACGAAGCTTCCTTGCTATTAATGTTTTTTCCTATGCAAAAATGTGACAGCGGGAGCGGAACTGGAAAAAGGGGCGGGAAGAGGGAAGGGCTTGATCGTCAAAGGGGGTTTCCGTGTGGGAATCTGGGATCCTTCCCGTGCTGGGACACTGGGATCATTCCCATGGGAGCAGGACAGGATCCTTGCTGTGCTGGGAAACTGGGATCATTCCCATGGTGGGATTCTGGGATCCGTCCCATGGGAACAGGATGGGATCCTTCCCATGATGGCAACTTGGGATTCTTCCCGTGGTGGGAACCTGGGATTCTTCCTGTAGATGGAGCCTGGGATCTGTTCCAGGATCCTTTCCCATGGTGGGAATCTGGGATCCTTCCCATGCTGGGAATCTGGGATCATTCCATGGTGGGAAACTGGGATCATTCCCATGGTGGGATTCTGGGATCCGTCCCATGGGAACAGGATGGGATCCTTCCCATGATGGTAACTTGGGATTCTTCCCGTGGTGGGAGCCTGGGATCTGTTCCAGGATCCTTTCCCATGGTGGGAATCTGGGATCCTTCCCATGGTGGGAATCTGGGATTCTTCCCATGGTGGGAATCTGGGATCATTCCTGTGGAGGGGAACTGGGATCCTTCCCATGCTGGGAATCTGGGATCATTCCCATGGTGGAGCCTGGGATCATTCCATGGTGGGAAATTGGGATCCTTCTCATGATGGGAATCTGGGATTCTTCCCATGGTGGGGAACTAAGATCCTTCCTGTGGTGGGAATCTGGGATCATTCCTGTGGAGGGGAACTGGGATCCTTCCATGGTGGGGAACTAAGATCCTTCCCATGGTGGAGCCTGGGATCATTCCATGGTGGGAAATTGGGATCATTCCATGGTGGGGAACTGGGATCCTTCCATGGTGGGAAATTGGGATCCTTCCCATGGTGGGAATCTGGGATCATTCCATGGTGGGGAACTGGGATCCTTCCCATGGTGGGAATCTGGGATCATTCCCATGGTGGAGCCTGGGATCATTCCATGGTGGGAAATTGGGATCCTTCTCATGATGGGATCCGGGGATATTTCTGGGGGTGCTGCCCCGGGGATGAATCCCGAGGATGGATCCCGAGGATGGATCCCGAGGATGGATCCCGAGGGATGCACCTGGAGCTTGCCAGCCTCAGCAGGTTGGACAATCCCAGGATGGGCAGGATTTTCCCAGAGCACAGGGAACGACACCAGACCCTGCTGGTTTTTCCCGGAGATCCCAATTCCCACTCAATCCCAGCTGCCGAAGTTGTTCCCGGCGCGGCTCTGTCCCGTCCGTGTCCTGCGTTCCCCGCTGCCTTCCGTGTGCTGTCATTCCCGATTATTTATGCTCCCACGGGATAGTGATGGAATAAAATCTTTTCAGGATACCAGAACCGCGTTCCTGCCTTTCCTTCTCCATCCAGGGGCTGGGGGGATCCCAAGGAAAGTTCTTGGATGCGCTCCTCCGGAGCAGGGAGGGGCAGCGGCCGAAGGTGGATCCTCATTCCAGCATTCCCAGCTCATCCCAACATTTCCAGGATCCAACTCATTCCAGAGGGAGGAAAACGCGGAGCGCTGGCTCTTCCCTGGGATCCAGGAGCTCCTTGTTCCCAGCCTGGCAAAGCCAGGAGAGGATTTCCCAGGAGAAAAGCTCCAGTTTTCCTGGGATAATCCCCCAGAACCCCCCGTTCCCAAGGGAAACCATTCCAGGGCCTTCATCCGAAGGATTTTAGGGAGCCAAAGGTGCCAAAAACACCAGGAATTCCCGCTTTTCCAGGGCTGTCATTCCTTCTTTTTAGGGAGCCAAAGATGCTAAAAAAATTTGGGAGTTCCCACTTTTCCAGAGCTGCAATTCCCTGGTTTTTTTTAGGGAGCCAAAGGTGGTAAATAGATCCGGGAATTCCCACTTTTCCAGAGTTGCAATTCCTTTTTTTTTAGGGTGCTAAAAAAGATCTGTGAATTCCCGCTTTTTCAGGGCAGCCATTCCTTGTTTTCCCAGAAAGAATTCCAAAGGCGGGATTTGTATCAAAAGCTTTATTGAAATTCCTCAAAGCCAAACAGACAAAACCTCCAAAGGTGGCTCTGCCGGGCCCCCAAATTCCCAAAAAAACCTGGAGCCGCTGGATTTCTACACATGGAAGCTTTTCTAGGAAATCCAAGTCACTTCCAAAGGGATTTTTCCCCACAGGATCTGTACATTCCCCAAGGATTTTCCTTGTTTTTTGCCTCCCACAAAGTAAGAAAATACAATTTTCAGGAATTTCCATGGAATTTCAGGCATTGCTCCTGGAATTCCTGGCTTTCTGGGTGAAAAAATCGGGATTTTCCATGTGGTTTTTCCTGGATTAGGGACAGAAATTCCAGAGGGAGCTGATTGGGAAAGCAGGGAGGAGTTGGTTTATTCCAAGATCAGGAAATTTGGGAATTTGGGATATTTTTTTGTAGAAATCCCCATATTTTTTTCATGCCTGCCATTTCCAGGGATTTGGCTGCACTGGAGCCATGAAAATTCCCCAAAATTCCCTTTAAAAACCCCAAAAATAAAAAAAAACTTACTAAAAACCCTAAAATTCCCTCCCAAATTAAAGGAAAACTGGGGACACACAACACACAGGGATCGCAAAGTCACCAGCTCCGAACCCATCCCGAAAAATCCAACATTCCCAAAAAACCAATGATTGGTCACTATTTACAAAGAGGGAATTCCCAAAGTTGGGAAAAAGGGCTGAAAATGGCAGCATTCCCAAAAAAAAAAAAAAACCAAAACCATGGAGCAAGGCACCATTGCCACCCCAGGAAGAAGGCCTGGCTGCCATTCCTGAAAAAACATGGATTTGGGAATGGCAGAGGTGGGAAAATCCCGGCTCATCCATGGATTTCAGCTCGGTTTTCTCCTTGTTTTGCTTCCGAGATGTCCAAGCTCCGCTCCGAGAATTCCTAACTCGGTTCCTACTCAACTCTCGCAGTTCCAGGGATTCAAGGAAAAGGATCCAAGGAAAAAATTCCCAAAGAATCGGAGGAGGAGCGGCAGTAAAAATAGGATTTTATTCCCTTCCCACCCTCGCTGCTCCCGCTCGGTTCCCACAGCAACGTTACAATCCGGAAAAAAAAAACAAAAAAACCAAAAAAAAACCAGGAAAAGAAAAGGAAATCCAAAGGGTCGGGAGTGGGAAAAGGGGGAATTCCGGGATAAAAACAGTCAAATCACAAGAGGGAATTTTTTCCAGGGAAAAGCTGCTCAGTCGTCCTCATCCCCCTCATCCTCAGGCTCTCGTTTCCTCTTCTGACCCCGCTCTTCCTCTGGAAAAAAGAAAGAATTCCCATTATTCCAGGAGCCACATTCCTGCTTTTCCGGGAATTCCATTTTCCATGGAACTGAGGTAGTTTTTTCCTTAGGAAAAGTGGGATTGGTTCCGTACCGGGCTCCTCCTCGTCCTCCTCGTCATCCACCTCGCCGTCGTTGTAGCCTTCCTCATCCTCCTGGAATTCCAGGAAAAAACAGGATGTAAAGCTTGGGATCAAGCCCAGGAGCTTTCCCAATATCCCGTCTTCCAAGGAAGGAAAGTCCTTGGAATGTCCTCAGCAAGGAGCCACTTCCCAGTATTCCAGTTTTTTATGGAATAGCAGGAGCTGGCACTGAAATCCCAGGGAATCAATCCCTGAGCTGCAGCTGGGAATGTGGGAATGTGCCATTCCCGAGTTCAGGAAAACTGCATTGGGATTTATGGGAGTGGGAAAAGCTGGAATGATCCAGAGCCTCGGAGCAGAACTGAGGAGGCTCAGGAACATTCCAGAGGGGCTGGAGAGGATTCAGGGCTGGAGGAGAGGGAAAACAAATCCCTGGAATTCCGTTTTCCCCTTTCCCATTCCACTTTCTCGCCTCCAATCCCATTTTCCTTCCTCCCATCCCACTTTCCCCTTTCCCTTTTTCTTCCTCCCTCAACCCCATTTCCCCCCCTATAATCCCATTTTTCCCCCCTCAATCCCATCCTTCATCCGCCCCAGCAAAAAGTGAATCCTAAAATTCCTCAAATCCCAGATTTCCCGCCTGGCCCTTCCCAGCCCGATCCCGCCGACTCCCGAGGCGGAATTCCAAGGCAGAATTCCAAGGCTCACCTCCTCCTCTCCGCTCACATCCTCCTCCTCCCCTTCCTCCTCCTCCTCCTCCTCATCCTCCTCATCCTCCACTACCTGAGCATCGTCGTCGTATTCCTCCTCTGGAAAAACAAAATCCATGGAAAAAGTTGAGGCTTTTGGAATAATTCCACCCAAAATCTGGGAATCTGAGCAGAGAATTCCTTAGGGATAGCACAGGAATGTCAAGGAATGCAGGGTTGGAGTCGCTCCAGCTGCTCCACTTCCCACTATTCCCAAGGATTTGGGAGCTGGGGAATCCCAGCTTTTCCAGGAATGGATGGAGGAGAACTTTCCCATCATCCATTGGGAGCCTTCCCATGGACACAAAATTCCAGCCTTTTAGGTGATTCCCAAAATTCCCAGCAGACAACCAGGAAGTGCCAAGCCCCTGGAATGTTTTCCATGTGTTTGGGAGCTTTTGGGAACCTTCCCAGAGTTCCCACTCAGCATTCCTGGGAAAAGTGCGCATCCAGCTTTTCTGCTGAGCTGCTGGGATGGGAGAATCCAGCAAATTCCCTGGGATCAGCCGGATCCTCATCCTGGGACAGCTCTGGAGGCAGCCAGGGAAAGGTGGTGCCTATAGCACTGGGATTCCTTGGAATTCCCTGGAATTCCAGGCTGTTTCCTTCCTCAGTTCCTGGCACAGATCCCCTGGAGCTCCCCGGTGTTTTCCATGCACTTCCCTTATGGAGCAGCTCCATAATTCCTGCTTTTTTTCCATGCCCACGGAAAAATCCCTTTTCCATGAGGATTTCCACAATTCCAGGACACTCCTTCTTATCCACGCTCATCCCTGTTCCCGTAATTCCTCCAGTCCATCCCAATCCCACCCCTCATTCCCAGATGGAGGAATGGGGTTTTCCAGGCCCTGCCACCACCTCCTCCCCTCATTCCTCTGGGATGCAGGAATCCCACAGAGCACATCCCACCTACCATCCTCATCCTCCTCCTCGTCATCCAGCCCCTCCACATATCCCTCGGCGTCGGAATCCGGCGCTTCCTTGTCGTCCCGGTCTTTCACTAGGGATAAAACTGAGGAAGTTGCTCCTTCAGGCCCTGCCTGGCTCCTTCCCACCATTCCCTCAGGACACCCGGCTCCTTCCCCTCATTCCTTCAGGTCCTTCCCCTCATTCCCTCATGTCCCTCCCTCGTTCCCTTACTCTTTCCTTCATTCCCTCATTTCTCCCCTCACTTCTTCCTTCATTCTCTCAGGTCCTTCCCCTCATTCCTTTGGGACATGCAGTTCCTTTCCCTGATTTCTTCCCCTCATTCCCTCAGGACACTCGGGTCTTTCCCTCATTTTTTGGGACACTGAGGTTCTTCCCCCCTTCTCCCACCATTTTTTTGGGACACCAAGGGTCCTTCCCTTATTCCCTCAGGACATGGAGATCCTTCCCCCCATTCCCTCAGGACACACAGCTCCCTCTCCCACCATTCCTTCAGGACAATGAGGTCCTTTCCCTCACTCCCTCAATTTCATTTCCCTCACTTCCTCAATTTCATTTCCCTCCATTCCTTCAATTTTATCTCCCTCACTCCTTCCCCTATTTCCTTACAACACTTTCCCTCATCAACTCCTTCCCCTCATTCCTTTGGGACACCAAGATCCTTCCCCTCAATTCCCTCAACTCCTTCCCCTTATTCTCTCCCTTCAATTCCCTCAACTCCTTCCCCTCATCCCTTCCCTCATTCCTCCCCTCAATTCCCTCACGTCCCTTCCCTGATTCCCTCATGAGAGAGGTCCTTTCCCTCATTCCCTCCACTCCTTCCCCTCAATTCCCTCACGTCCCTTCCCTGATTCCCTCCTGACAGAGAGGTCCTTTCCCTCATTCCTTCCCCTCAATTCCCTCACGTCCCTTCCCTGATTCCCTCATGAGAGAGGCCCTTTCCATCATTCCTCCCCTCAATTCCTTCATCCCTTCCCCTCATTCCCTCAGGTCCCTTCCCTGATTCCCTCATGACAGAGGGGTCCTTTCCCTCATTCCCTCTCTCAATTCCCTCCACTCCTTCCCCTCAATTCCCTCCACTCCTTCCCCTCATTCCCTCAGGTCCCTTCCCAGATTCCCTCACGACAGAGGGGCCCTTCCCCTCATTCCTCCCCTCAATTCCTTCATCCCTTCCCTCATTCCCTCAACTCCTTCCCCTCAATTCCTTCATTCCCTCCTCTCAATCCCCTCATTCCTTCCCCTCAATTCCCTCACGTCCCTTCCCTGATTCCCTCCTGACAGAGAGAGAGGTCCTTTCCCCCAATTCCTCCCCTCAATTCCCTCCACTCCTTCCCCTCAATTCCCTCATTCCCTCAGGTCCCTTCCCTGATTCCCTCATGACAGAGAGGTCCTTTCCCTCATTCCTCCCCTCAATTACTTCATCCCTTCCCTCATTCCCTCAACTCCTTCCCCTCAATTCCCTCATTCCTCCCCTCAATTCCCTCACGTCCCTTCCCTGATTCCCTCATGACAGAGAGGTCCTTTCCCTCATTCCTCCCCTCAATTCCCTCCACTCCTTCCCCTCAATTCCCTCACGTCCCTTCCCTGATTCCCTCATGACAGAGGGATCCTTTCCCTCATTCCTCCCCTCAATTCCCTCATTCCTCCCCTCAATTCCCTCATTCCTTCCCCTCAATTCCCTCATTCCTTCCCCTCAATTCCCTCATTCCTTCCCCTCAATTCCCTCAACTCCTTCCCCTCAATTCCCTCACTCCTTCCCCTCACTCCCTCTCCCTCCCGGTGCCGGTTCCCGTTCCCGTACCATCCTCATCCTCCTCCTTGTCATCCAGCTCCTCCACGTATCCCTCGGCGTCGGAATCCGGCGCTTCCTTGTCGTCCCTGTCGTATCCGTCCAGGTACGTCAGCTGCGGCAGCAGCTTGAACACGTTTTCTCTGTAGTCGTTCAAGTTGGTCACCTCACAGTTGAACAGGTCTAAGCTCTTCAGGTTTTCCAACTTTTTCTGGGAAAACAAAGGAATTTGGAAGGTTTGCTGGTGCAGGAATTCCCTCCCAAGGCAAGGAGCCCAAGGGGAATGTGCTGAAGGGATTCCCGGGGGTGTTTTGGGCTCCCTGGAGATGGCAGGCATGGAAAAAAAAAATGGAATCTTTATATAAAATAGCCCAAATTCCCAAATTGCCTGACTTTGGAATCAACCAACTCCTCCCACCTTTCCAATCAGCTCCCTCTGGAATTTCCACCCCTAATCCAGGAAAAACTGGTTGGAAAATCTCAATTTCATTTGGGATGGGAAAGGCTCTCCCTGAAATCCTGCAGCTCCCAAATCCAAAGGAATGACTGATAGCCAGGAAAGTATCCCAAAGGAGCCAGATCCAGGAATTCCTGCAGACGGAAGCAGGATTGGAGCATTTGGACACAAAAGCTTTGCTAAGAGAGGTTTAAAAAATTGAATTAGTTTTCCTTGGAGTACAGAAAATGAAAAAACACATTTTTCTTTTGGAATGGAATTTTCATTTTAAATGGAATAGGAATTTAATTCCTGGAGGTTTTGTGGAATTTTTTTTTTTTGGGAAGAAGTTTGCACTGCTCACAGAATTTGAAAATTCTAAAAACTAAATCCAAAGGAATTGAGCATTTGCATCAAGGCTTATCCATGGATAAGAAATATCAACTCTAAGGGAATATCTCCCTTCACTTTAATGCAGAAAGCACTCAGGAAAAAGGCCTGGAAATGGGAAAACTGGGAGAGCTGGGAGCATTTCCAAGCTTTTCCTTGAATGTACCAGCTCTGCATTTTCCCTGTGCTGCAGAAAAGGAGATCCAGGAAGGAGCTGCTCCTGGAAGAAGGATTTTCATGGGAATTGTTGTGCCAGGAGATGGATTCAGAGCCTGCAGAATCCTGGGAAGCTGCTGCGATTCCCGCCGGGAATGGGGGAACCCGGCCCGGCAGCCACTAGAGGGAAGCAGCGGCTCACCGGGAACGGGAACAGGGACTTGGGATGCGGCCTGGATCCCGGGATTCGCTGGGATTTGGGGAAGGAATGAGGGGGGAAAGGATCTGATACAGAATCCAGGAGCAACATTCCCTGGAAGCGCCCAAGGCCGGGCTGGGAGCAACCTGGGATAGAGGAAGGAATTCCAAGGGTTTGGAACACAATGAATCCCATTCCTTGGAGCAAAACCAACTCTCCAGGACTTGGGATGCAGGAAAAAATGGGATTTGGGGAAGGAATGAGTGGGGAAAGGATCTGGCACCGATTCCGGGAGTGACATTCCCTAAAAGCACCTAAGGCTGGGCTTGGAGCAAGCTGGGATAGAGGAAGGAATTCCAAGGGCTTGGAATGGGATGAATCCCATTCCTTGGAGCAAGACCAACTCTCCAGGACTTGGGATGCAGGAAAAAATGGGATTTGGGGAAGGAATGAGTGGGGAAAGGATCTGGCACCGATTCCAGGAGTGACATTCCCTAAAAGCACCTAAGGCTGGGCTTGGAGCAAGCTGGGATAGAGGAAGGAATTCCAAGGGTTTGGAACACAATGAATCCCATTCCTTGGAGCAAGACCAACTCTCCAGGACTTGGGATGCAGGAAAAAATGGGATTTGGGGAAGGAATGAGTGGGGAAAGGATCTGGCACCAATTCCAGGAGTGACATTCCCTCGCTGGGCTTGAAACAACCTGGGATAGAGGAAGGAATTCCAAGGGTTTGGAACGGGATGAATCCCATTCCCATGAGCAATCCCAACTCACCAGAGGTTCTATTGTCCCGAGATCTTTAAGTTTGTTGCCGCTTAGGTTTAGGTGCGTGAGGTTCGGACACTTTTCTGCCAACACTTCCAGGCCTCCTGAGATTCTGTTGTCGCCCAACTCGAGCTGCAAAGGCCCAAAAACATCCTCAAAAATCCCATTTGATCCCATTTCCAGCCACTTTTCCGCACGTGGAGAAGGGGCAAAGCAGGGATTTGGCTCGGGGAGGTGGGATTTACCTTCTTAAGTTTGTTTAACTTTGGTAAGTTTGCAACTGAGGTTAAGCCGACGTTGATTGTGCTGAGGTATTCCAGCTCCTCAAACTCATCCGTGAGGCCCACGATTTTCCCTTCGTACGACCGGCAGTTGTCCAGAACGAGCTCTTTCACCTGCAAAGGGAAGAAATCAAGGAAAAAGAGAAGGAGCTTCAGGGAATTAGCAAGAATCAGGAGTTTTTCAGCAGAGAAACGCAGGAGTTCGGGGTTGCGATAAGACAAAAGCCAAGATCAAGGTAGCGCTCCTGATCCCACACACTGAGGGTAAAAAAATCCCAAGATTCCCAAAATAAACTACCAAACCAGTCACTGGGTTGAAATTCAGATAGAAAACCCCCCAAAAATAAGGAAAATAAGTGGATCTTTTCCCTCAACAGTGTTTAATTTTCAGGATTCTCTAGAGGGTCCATTTGGGGATAAATAAAGATGTTTTTTCCTCTCACGTGAGAGAAAAAGCTCCCAAATTTCCCCAAAAAAGTTCCCAAATTATTCATTGGGTTGAAATTCAGGTGGAAAATTCATGGATCTTTTCCCTCCATGGTGTTTAATTACCAGGATTCTCCAGAGGACCCATTTGGGATAAATAAATAGGCTTTTTACCCTCATGTTTTGCACACACACACGGAGTTCCTGCCAAAAATAAAAAGGCAGGAAAATTGAAATGGAGGCGAATCCTCCTTTATCTGTGTCCCTGCTCCGTTATCTCATCCCAGCACCCCTGGAACAGGAAGCTCCAGGTGGGTTTTGCCTCAGAGGAATTTGGGAATTCCTCACAGGAATTTCAGGAGCTGAGGGGAGTGGGAACTGAGGGAAGGGAATAAGCCCAGAGCTGATCCTGAGGGACAAACAGCTCCTGATCCCACACACTGAGGGGAAAAACCCCTCAAAATTCCCAAATTACTCATTGAGTTGAAATTCAGGTGAAAAATTCATGGATCTTTTCCCTCCATGGTGTTTAATTATCAGGATTCTCCAGAGGATACATTTGGGATAAATAAAGAGGTTTTTTTCCCCTCATGTTCTCCACACAAACACGGAGTTCCCGCCAAAAAAAAGGTGGGAAAATTGCAATGGAAGCGAACCCTTGTTTTCTGAGTCCCTGCTCCATTATCTTATCCCAGCACCATCAGACACGGAGCCAGGAGAGCTTGGGATCCTCACCAGGAAGTTCCAAGTGGGTTTTGCCTCAGAGGAATTTGGGAATTCCTCCCAGGAATTTCAGAAGCTGAGGGGAGCGGGAATGGAGGGAAGGGAATGAGCCCAGAGCTCACCCTGAGGGACAAACAGCACTGCTGCTGGTCCAGGAGGTGGGATATCCATCCCTCCATCCTCTCCCAGCATGGAAAACAGGGAATTGCACAGAAAACCAGTGAATTAGACAACAATTCCCTCCGAGATTTAAGGAAGAGCTGGAAATAGTCTTGGATACAACGGAAAACCCCTCAGCACCAAGGCAAATGACCCAACTGCCTTTTTTTCCCCCTTTTAATTTGTATTTTTTTAGAACCTTTGGAATGTTTTGGGTTGGAAGGGACGTTAAAGATCATCCCATTCCAACCTCTTTTATGGAAGGTTGTTCACTCCCTGCTTTTCAGGATGTTTGGTGCACAAATGCCACATTCCCTCCTTCCCCGTTTCCAGCACTGGGCAAAGGCACAAATCCAACAAATCCATGGAGAAAGCTCCTGGAATCCAAGAGGCTGCGTTTGGGAAGCTTGGATGAGTTCAGAGCCAGTTTGGGAAGAGCGAAGCACATTCCCAACCCTTCCCAAGAGCAACATCGCGTCGGTGTTAACTCCCTGAACCCCTGGAAACAACAGCATTCCAAACAAAATTCCAGGATGGCTCCGTGCCCTAAGAATCCTCAAGGAAATCCAGGTGTGCCAAAGGAGGAGGAACCGGATTTCTGGGATTTTTCCTAACACCCACAGCTCTCTGCCTTCCATGGCACATTCCCTCTCCATAAAATCTCGGGATTTCAAAGAGGAGAAGCCTTGGGAGAGGCCATCACTTTCCACATCTCCTCTAACAGGGAACTTTTCCAAGGATTTGTCTCGCCCAAAATTCCAACCAGAGGCGAGAAATTCTCTAGATTTCCCATTCCAATCCCACCTGGAACGCGACCAGACCAACAAAAACTTGGATGAGCTTCCTACTCAATCCCGGGATTACCGGAGCTGCTCCGGAGGTTCTGATGAGCCAACCCCTGCTCCAGGATCATCCCAAAATCCCCAAGCTCAAGAACCCAATTAAAATAATAAATTAATTAAATTCCAACTGCAATTCCAAGCTCTCCATGACTCAACCCCATGGCAGCTCAGAGCGGTCCCATTCCTGGTGGGAAACAGGGAAGGTTTCCATGGAGTATCTCCCAGCAGCTGCTCTGTGACCGCTTGGCCACAGCTCCGGAGCCCTTCCAGGTTTTCCAGAGCCCTTGGAATTCTGCCCAGGGCAGGGCGGGCAGCAGGTGCCATGGCCCATGGCCACCGGGGATTCCCATCCCATGGGATTCCCATCCCAGGGGGATCCTCAGCTGCTGCTGCTGCTCAGGAGTGAGAAGCTGACCTGGAGCAGGACAGCATTCCACAAGGAAGGGAGAATTCCCAAGGTTTTCCATCCTTTTCCTGCCCTGGGATAAACAGTGGATGGAATTCCTTCCCCAAACCCCACGGGATTTGGGTATGGATACAACCCCTCCAGGGCTTTTTTGGGAATATCCCAGACGGGATAAACTGATTCCTGAGGAAAGCCAGGATCCTTGGGAATGCTCCACTGCCACCTCTTTCACTCCAGCTCATCCCAACTGGAATTCCAACCTGGAATGAGAGAATCCATGGAAAACACCACTAAACCACGGAATCCAGCCACCAACCCAACCCCACCATTTTCCAGGATCCAACCTTTCCTGGGAATACCAAACTCCCATTGGGAATATCCAAGATGGCATAAACTGATTTCCAACCAGTTATCCATGAGCAATTCCTGGCCGGGAATGTGCCGGGAAGAGAATCCCAAAACTCCCGGGGCAGGGAGAGACAGTACTGGAAAACAGCCACGGAACACAACCCCGTTCCCGGGAAATCCCAATTTCATGGAAATCCTGGGAATCATCCAGCCCGGAGAATCCCACGGCAGAGGCGGGGAAGGGACTGGATGGGATTAACACGGATACTGGGATCGGGAGCAGAATTCCATCGGCATCTCTACGGATGGAAGCGGCACCACGGCTGCCAGGGCTTCCTGGGAATTTTCTGGGATTTCTCCAAGCTCCAGTTTATGGGAATTCCCCCAGCCAAGAAATCCTGTTTCCTTCAGCCATTCCCAGGGGGATCTGAGGAATCCAGCATTCCCGAGGAAAGCCAGGATCCTTGGGAACGCGCTCCATTCCCGCCTCTTCCACACCAGCTCATCCAGCTGGAATTCCAACCCAGAACCAGAGAATCCTTGGAAAATGCTTGGAAGAATCAACGGAACGCAGCCATCAATCCAACCTTTCCGGGATTACACCTTTCCCGGGAACACCAAATTCCCATCCCAGGAAGCTCCAACCGGACTCCAAACTCATCGGAATTCCTCCTCTGCTGCAACTTCCTTGAAAAACCCCTCCAAGAACTTCCAGCATTCCGGGATCCCGGAGGCTGGAAAAGACATCCAGGACCGAGTCCAAGCTGTGCCTGATCCCAAAGCTCCGAGTGTCACTTCCAGGAATTTTTTGGACACTTCCAGGGATGGGAATTCCACAAGGGCTGCCCTTTCCAATGTTTATCCACCTTTTTCCACGAAAAAATTCCTGCTGTTGTCCCACCTGAGCCTCCCCTGGCATTCAGAAGGAATTTTAGGAAGGTTCCTCCCTTTTTTCCAGGAAAAACCAGGAAAAAAGCCAAAGTCTCTCTTTCCCCCCAGTCCACGGCGATTCCATCAGGGATCAAACTTTGACTTTTATTCCTCCCAATCCTGGCTTTTAAATTCCCAATATTTTCATTCCTGGTTCTTTTTTTTCCCCTCTGGAAAATTTAATTCCAAAGGGAAACAGTGAGAAAATCTGTGGAAAAATTCCCTGTAAAATTAAAAACAGGTTTTTCAAAAAGCTTTCTTCTCTCAGCTGTTTTTCCCATTTTTCCTTTTTTTTCTGGCATTCTGTTGGATTTGGTTTTTGCCTCCTGAGAATCCCCTTTTTTGGGGAAATTCCAAATGTTCTAATGGAATTTGGGGCTGATCAAGGAATTTTTTCCCACATTAAATCAAAATTTCAGGCTAATTTTAACCCCCCCAGCCACCCCTGCTTTCCAATATTTGGATTTTCCCCCAGATTTTCCAATGGGAATGACCACAAAAGTGCCAAAATCTGCCCAGGGGAACACATCCTGAAGGAAATTAAGAGCAATTAATTAATTATAATTAAAATTATATTGATAAGAAAAATAAAATCACCATTTTGCTGTGATTCATAAATTTAACGGGTTAAAAAGTGGGAATAGCTGGGGAAAAATCTGCCTGAACATCCAAAAATTCCCAGTTTTCCAGCAGTAAAATCCACTTTTTTCCTGATACTGAATTAACATAAAAAAATAAAGGGAAACTTTAAAAGCTAAACAACAAAAATGAAATTGACAAAAGAATTTCTCCACAGAATCCACCTGCGGATATTTTTAGGATGTTTTATTAATCAGGATGTGACTTTCTGGGATTATCCAATGGAAAAAATTAAGGGAAACGATTCCCAAACTCATCCTGCCCACCCAAAACTCCCTAAAATCCGAGAATAAATGACTTTGGCATCAAGATTCCTGCCAAATCCTAATTCCAGAGGGTGGAATTAGCAGGATTTTCCTTTAATACTTTAAAAGAACAAAATTCATCCCACAAACTTCATTCCCTAAAAAACACGTGCTCACAGCTCAGAACACAACAACATTCCCAACTGGAATTTCCAGCTCTCTGCCTAAAAACCTGGGATTTAGACCACTTCGGGGGGGATCAAGGCACCAAATTCCCTGAAAATTCCAAGGAAAACCAAGCGGTGAAAGGTGAAATTCTCCCGATTTTCCTGCTGCCCATTCCCAGCCCTGAGTAGCAGGGAACTCCCTCCAGCTCCGAGTTTTCCCAACTCTTTTTTATTTTTGGCGTGAGGCAAAAGCGAGCAGAAGCAGCACACAATCCAAGCATGGAAAAGAGGGGGAAAATTGACTTTATCCCTTTGGAGGCTGGTTTTAAACAGAGGTTTAAAACGGGGAAGAAACCTCCAGCGATGAGGGCGGCGAGGCGGAAATGGGGGCAAAACCGAGCAAAAATAAAGAACTATTTAAAAACTAGGGGGAAAATCGGTGGGGGAAAAAAGCAGGGGGAAATAAGAACAGGATAAAAAGCAGGAAAACACTTCCCAAGCCCAACGCTGCCTCCCCACAGGGCCCTGCCCAGGAAGGAGGCGGATTCCCCGTCCGCGCTCCTCACCCGGGGGAACCACGGCGCTCCTCCCGCTACTCCCCCGGCCCCATTCGGGCCTCCCGTTGCCTCGAATAATCAAGAAAACCCAATTTTTTTAACAAGCTTTTTTGTTGTTGTTGTTTTTATTAATTTTTTTTTCTTATTTTACCCCAACGCGGCCCTCACGAAATCTCCTCCCGCCCCGCGGCCGGCGACAAAATGGCAGCGCTGCCCGTCATGTCGGGAGGGCTCCGCCGCAACCTCCGCAGCGCCTCAGCCCCGGCGCCAGCGGGGCTCCCTCACGGCCCCGCGGGGCCGCCCGCGGCCGAGGCAGCAGCGGCGGCGGCGGGAGGAGGAGGAGGAGATGGAGGAGGAGGAGGAGGCGGCGGCCGTGAGGGGAAGGCGGGGGTGCTGAGGGTGGGGGGTTGGGGGGGGCAGCACAGAACATGGCGCCGCGTCCTACTTGGCGCTGCGGTCGCCTCACGGAGCCCCCCCGGCCATGGCGGTTGTACCGTTGAGTCGTCCCCCCACCCCCGCCCGCCACCTTCGCCGTCCTCCTCCTCTTCCTCCTCCTCCTGCTCGCCCAGGAGTTTTTAAACTTTAAAGCGCAGCTTCCGCCGCCCCGCGCCCGCCTTTGTCGTTCCCCCCCCCTCCTCACCCCCCCTTTCCCCGGAGCACACCGCGCTCGGTTCGGCCGCCGCGTCCCGCCGCGCTGCCCCGGGCGATGCCCGCTGAGGTACGTTCGCCCCTCGGCTCTCCCCTTCCCGCAGCCTCCCCGGGGGGCTCCGGGGACGCGGCGGGGCCGGGGCTCGGTGAAGCCTCCCCGGGCAGCGCCCGGCGGGGCAGGGGGGATGAGGGGAAGGGGCTTCCCCGCCGCGGCTTCGCGCCCCGCCTGCCCCCGGCCCCCTCCCGCCCACTCGTTTTGGGGTGCTTTTCCTATTTTTCGCTTCTTTCCACCCCCCTCCCCCTGTTATTTCATTGCTTGTTTGGGGGTTTTGTTGGGTTTTTGGTCGGTTCTTTTTTTTTTTTTTCTGTCCTGCCAAAGTTTTTCGCCGTCCCCCGTTTATTCCGCCAGACGCGGAACAACAACCTGAAGTCCGGCCCCGGGGGAAGGAAGGGGGGGAAAAGGGGGAAGAAGGAAAAACACGCACACACATCCAGCCTTTTTGTGCGTGTGTGGGGATGGAGGGGGTGGAGAGTGCGTTCATTTCTTCCAATATTATTTTTTATTATTCTTAATGATTATTAGGATTATTATTCAACGCTCGCGCTACCGGCGGCGATGCCCCATCGCCAGCAAAATTAAAAAAAAAAAAAAAAAAAAAACCACAACAACAGGGGGAAAAAAAAAAAAAGCCCAAACCAAACCCAACCAACGCTAAGCGTCGGTTTCAAAATTCTTTCCTTTTATCTTCTCAGCATCTGGAGAGAGGGAGAGAGAGAGAGAGAGAGAGAGAAAGGGCGCGTTCATGAGGACTACAAAGTTACAAATATGGCTCCCCAGTCTCTCTTGCCTGATCACTGCAAAGAAATGAAGACGCACTTTAAACTAAACCATTCGCAACTCACTCGCAGTCCCTGCCTGCCTCTCCCTAGCCCAGCACCCTGCACAAATATTTGCCAACTAAACACGCCGAGAGAGAGAGCAGCGAGCAACTTATTTTTTATTTAATGCACGGCCAGCCCCTCTCCGAGGCATCGCAGCCCGGCACGGGCAGGAGCAGCCCCGGGGAGCCCCCGAACGTCCCCGGAGCGCCCCGCGCCCCCAAAAGCGGGGGGCACAGCCCCCCACACACACAGGTAGGCACCTCAAGGGCAGCAGCGGCCCCGCCAACACCTGGCACGCTCCACCCCGCCAAAAAAAAAAAAAATTTAAAAAAAAAAAACCGTGGGGATGCCTTTTTATTATTCTCATCATTAGCGTTATTAGCGTTAATTTTTTTTTTTTTTTTTTTTTTTTTTGGGCATTGCATTGCTTACATCTGAGGGCGTCCTGTTCCGCAGCTCTAAGTGGATCCTTCTCTTCATCTCCATGTCCGTGGCTGGCGGGAGGCGCGGAGGGTGCGCGGCTCGGCTGGCGCAGTGACCCCGTGCAGAGCCCCCCGATCGCGGGGCGCGGAGGGACTCGGGCTCGCCCAGCGCCGCTCGGAAGCCCGAGCGCAGCACCGCGGCGCGCACTAACCTGATAACCGCGGGGGCGGGCGCTCCGCCGCGATTGACGGCGCGCTCGGCCAATCGCGGCGCGCCGCCGCCGCCGCTCGACCAATCAGCAGCGCGAGGCGCGGCGGAAGCCAATGGGGGAGCGGCTGTGCCGGGCAGGGGGACAGCCCGGCGCCGAGCCCAGGCTCATTCCGCGCTGCCGCCTGATGGGGACGGAGCGGCCGCGGCTCCGCCGCGCCGGGCGCGCCGCGCGCTGCGCCCTGCGCCCACCCGAGCCTGGGGGAGGCGCCGGGGTGGGGAGCGGCGGCCAAAGCGGAGCCGCCCGGCCAGGGGAGCGCAGCCAGGAGGGAGGGAAAGGTGCGGAGCGAGGCACGGCAATGGCGCGGGCAATGGCGCGGGCCCCGGCGGCGGGGGGCGGGCGGCGGGCGGAGCGAGCGAGGGAGGGACGGGAATGGCGGCGGCGCTGAGGGGAGGGGGAGCGGCCGGGCCGCCCTCAGAGCGGGCCCCGCGGCCGCCCGGGGCTGCCCTCGCAGGGCTGGGAGCGGCTCCTGAGGGGAGCGGGAGGGTCGGGAGCCCCGGGAAAGGAAGGGAAGGGCCGCGAAAGGCGGGGTGAGGGTGGCGAGGCTGAGGGGAATCGGGAGCGGCCGGGCCGCCCTCAGAGCGGGGCCCGCGGCCGGGAGCGGCTCCTGAGGGGAGCGGAGGGTCGGCACCCCTTGGGAAAGGAAGGGAAGGGCAGGAGGATCCCGCCGGGAAGGTCCCTGAGGGGCAGCGGCTGTGCTGAGGTGGAGCAGGGCCAAGGATGGGAATGCTTCAGTTCCCAGAAAAGAGAAAAAGGAATTATTATTCTTTTTTCCTTTAGAGTGTCAGGGTAAGGGTGGTGGATTCAGGCTGGAAGAGAGCAGGGTGAGGTGGGGTATATTGGCAAGGAGTTCCTGTCTGGGATGGAATTCCCAGAGAAACGGTGGCTGCTCCATCCCTGGAATGTCCCAAGGCAGGTTGGAGCAGCCTGGGAGAGGGGAAGGTGTTGGCGTTGGGACTGGATGGGTTTGAGGTCCTTTCCAAGGCAAATCCCAGGAATTTGGAAGGAAAATGGGATACTCCAGGAACAGCGGAATGGGGATGATGCCAAGCTGGGAATGCTGGAGAAGGGAAGGATCCAGGGAATCCTCAGAGCCTTTTCCAGGGCCTAAAGGAGCTCCAGGCTGGAGAGGGACTGGGACAAGGAACAGGATGCAGGGAATGGCTCCCACTGGGAAAGGGCCGACTGGGGTGGGATATTGGGAAGGAATTCCTGGCTGGGCTGGAATTCTCAGGGCTCCATCCCTGGGATGTCCAAGGTGAGCCTGGAGCAGCCTGGAATAGTGGGAATGATCCCAGCCCGTGGAATGGGATGAGCTTGGAGCTCCTTCCCATCCCAAACCATTCCCTGCTCCCGGATCCTTTTCCAGGCGCTGCAGGATGAGGATCCAAGGCAAGAGCTGCTCTTTTCCAAGGATTTGGGATTTCCAAGCTGTTCCCATCAGCTGGAGCAAAACTCGGGTAAAAAGTGCTTCGATTCCTTCTGAAATCCCTGTTTATCCCTTCCTGCTTTCCCTGGAAAACACAGGGCTAGAAAATCCCAAAAAGATGTTGGAACGCATCAAGGGAACGCTGAAAATCCTTGGAAAACGTGATTTTATCCATGTATTTCACAGGACAGGATGGAGATAAAGTCTCAGCTGTGAGCACGGAAGAATTCCAGGAATATGGATAAAACCAGCGAGAATTGTGTTGGGAATGGGATGGGAAAAGCTGGATCCGTCTCCAGGTAAAAATTCCAATTTCAGCAACAGAAAACTGCAAAATGTTCCTTTTTTGGGGATGTTTGAGGGGTTTGGGATGGAAGTTTGGAATGGGCTGAGAAATCCTTGATTGGAATTAATATTCCAAACTTTTTGAATTGTTTGGGATTTGGGAATAAGGCAGAATTTGATCTGAGCTCTGTTTCAATTTCTCCTTTCCAGGTGTCTCCAGAAGTGGCTCCTGGGCTGAATCTTTGGGAATTTTTCATGGAATTTCTTCTCCTGGTGCTGTTGAAAACCTTTGGAAAAGGACTGTTCTCCTGGAAAAAAAATTTCTGGGACAATCTGGGATTTCAAAGGAATTTCTGGGAATCCAAAGCTGCTTTTTCCTTTGGTTTTTTTCCCAGAGAAAAAAATGCGGATTTTGATTGTTTGAAGGTGCAGAAAATTCCTTCTTTTGTTACTGAGGGAATTTATTTCCAGTTCCAAGCCAGAATTCCATGTTTAAAGCTGCTCCTGTCGTTGTTTGTATTCCAAGAGTTTGGGAATTAAAAAAAAATTGGGAATTGTAATATTTGGAATAAATCTGAAGGGTTATTTTTCCATGGTACAATTTTCCTTCTGTGATTTTTAATTCCTGGGGTGTTCTTTCCTGCTTTGTTTTTTATAGGAATTCTGAATTTGTGGGACTGGTTTTTAATGGGAATGGTTGGGGTTTTTTCCTGTTTCTATCACGAATTTAGAATTTATGGGATTGGTTTTTGCGGGAATTTGAGTTTTCCCTTGTTTTTAACAGGAATTTGTAATGGAATTCCTGGGATTTCTCCTGTTTATTTTTAAGAGGAATTTTGAATTTGTGGGATTTGTTTTTATCAGGAATTTTTAATGGAATTCCTGGGACTTTTCCTTGTTTATTTCACCACGAATTTTGAAATTATTTGGATGTGTTTTTAAGGGGAATTTTCAATGGAATTTGTCCTGTCTGTTTTTACCAGGAATTCTGAATTTATGGGATTTTTTTCCTTGTTAATTTTTAACAGGAATTTGTGGAGTTTTTCCCTTGTTAATTTTTACCAGGAATTCTCAGTTTGTGGGATTTTTCCTTGTTTATTTTTAAGAGGAATTTTGAATTGATGGAATTGGTTTTTAGCAGGAATTTGTGATGGAATTTGTGGAATTTTTCCTTGTTTATTTTTAAGAGGAATTTTGAATTTGTGGGGTTGGGTTTTTTTTCCTAGGAATTTAAAGGGTTTTCCCCTTGGCTGTTTGAACAGGAATTTTGAATTGATGGGATTTATTTTTCCCAGGAATTTCTGGGATTTTCCCTTGTTTGTTTTCCCAGGAATTTCTGGGATTTTCCCTTGTTTATTTCCCACAGGAAATTGCAACTTTTCCCTTTCTTTTCCCAGGATTCCCTCCCAAATTCCACAGGAATCCTCCTGTTCCTGGGGTGAATTCCCCTGGAAAATCCCTGGGAATTGTTTGTTCATCCCTTGAATGTCCCTTTGCTTTCCCACACAAAGATTTCCTTCTTTTAATTGGGAACAACTCCCAGCTCTGCACGGCTGGGAATGGAAAAAATTCCCAAAATCCCCCAAATCCCCACCCTCAGCTTTCCCAGCTGGGGAACTTTGGGATCAAACAAATCCCTGGGATCCAGGAATTCCGTGGAAAACACCCTTGGGATGCCACGGGAATTTCCAAGTTGTGGTTTAACCCCTTAAAGTTGGAATTTTTTGCAACGTTCCAGCGAAAAAATTGGGAAAATCTGATTTAAAAATTGAGGAAAAGCTGATTTGAAGGTAAAACATGAGGAGAAAAATTCCAGGATAGCTCCAAAATTCCCTGAATTGGAATTTATTTTTTTAATTAAATAAGCTTTCTCCTGAGAAAATGTACAGAATAATTGGAATATTCCTGATTTTTCTGATGGAATTTTCCAATATTTTCCTGCTTTACTGGCCTGGATTAATTTGGTAAAATCGCCCAAAAATTCAGGATGAGTTAAAAATCCAAGGAATTCTGGGATAATCCTTCAGAATTTAGGGACAATGGGTGAAAAACATGGAAAAATTGAATAAATTTGAAGTAAAATCCACAATTTCTTGGAATTAAATCACTTTATATGTGGGAAAGGCTGGAAAATTGGGATTTTTGCTGTCAGAAATCCATGAGGGGAATGAGAAAAAAGTGGGGGAAAAAAATTTGGATCCTTTGGAAAATCAAGGGGGAAAGAAAGGGAAAAAAAGCCAAATTTGGGGATAAAAACTTCCAGGGAATTCCAGGAAATAAAAATGATTTTGGAATTGGGGTGAGAAATGGGAAAATGGGAATGGCGGAATTCCAAGGAATTTTCTGGAGGAGAATCCACAGGATCGATGGAGCCATTCCCAAAAACTCCAAGAGAATTCCAATGGAATGGAAAATTTGGGAATTCTGCTTGTTGGGATCAGTGCAGAGGTTTTTTCCTGGCTGTTTTTCCAGGAATTCCACTCCAGGTTGTTCCTTTTGGGAATTTTGCCCATTCCCTCCTTTTCCCAGGGATCAATCCCACGGGAATGTTGAGTTTCCCTCTTTTCCAGGAGCTGCTTCCATGGGCTTTGGAAGAGCTCCTGGAATTCCTGAGGAGGAGGAAATCCCATGGAATCCTTGGAAAAGTTGGGAACTGGGGGAGGTTTCCTGTCCAAACCAGGGATTGAATTCCTCAGGATGAGGAAATTCCGCAGAATCCAAAGAAAACTTGGGAATGGAGCTCTGGCCCCCACTCCCAACATTCCCACCTGGAATTCCCATTCCTTGGAGCTGGGAGAAGCCCCTTTGGAGCCCCAAATCCCACCTGGAGCAGGAGAATTCCTGGTTTTTTTCCCTATGGATGCACAAAGAGCTGGAAAGGCAGCGGGAAAAGGAGGGAACGGCTCCATCCCATTTTAAAGCACGGAGATCCCAGGAAAAGGCTGGATTTGGGATGGGGCAAAGCTGGATTTGGGATGGGGAAAAGGCTGGATTTGGGATGGGGAAAAGGCTGGATTTGGGATGGGGAAAAGGCTGGATTTGGGATGGGGAAAAGGCTGGATTTGGGATGGGGGAAAAGGCTGGATTTGGGATGGGGAAAAGGCTGGATTTGGGATGGGGACAAAGCTGGATTTGGGATGGGACAGGGCAGGATGGAATCCAATTTATCCCGAGATCCTGGGGGTGTTTGGAATTGTTGGGATCAGCTCCTGGCGGTTATTCCGGGCGGGATCCGGGGGCTCGGATGCCTCTGGAATGCTTTTACCTGGATCTGCTGCTGACATTCCCATGGCAACGTGGTCCCGGGTGGATTTGTTCCGTTGGGAATCCAAGGCCGGGGGCTGGAGAAGACAATTCCCGGCCTGTTCCTGACGGGGGAATTCGGGAGCGGATCCCGTCAGTGGCAGCTCCAGATGGGTTTGGCAGGAACACAATTCCCGAGGGATGCAGGGGACAGGGAATGTCCAACGCAGGGATTGGCAAAGGGATAAACAACAGCTGGGAAAAGCGGGATCGGGATGGGCCGCGGAGCTGGGCGGGATTTGGGAAGGGAGGATAACGGGAATGAGCGGGGATTTGGGATTTATCCCAGCTGGAGCCATCCCTCTCCTCGGGAACGCCGTGAGCTTTTCCAGGATTTCCCTTTGGAGTCTCCCGGGATCTGCTGGAGGTGAACGGGAGAGGCTGGAGATGGGAAAAGGCTCCTGGAACTTGGATTTTCCTTTGGATCCTGGGGAAATCCGGGATGCTGGGAAGTGCTGATGGATTTCATGGAGCGTGGGGGATCGGAGGAATTGTGGGGGGCTGGGAAAGGAGGGAATGGGAATGGGGAAGGAGGGAATGGGAATGGGAATGGGAATGGGGAAGGAGGGAATGGGAATGGGAATGGGAATGGGGAAGGAGGGAAGGGAAAAGGGAAAGGGAATGGGGAAGGAGGGAATGGGAATCGGAATGGGGAAGGAGGGAATGGGAATGGGGAAGGAGGGAATGGGAATGGGAATGGGGAAGGAGGGAATGGGAAAGGGAATGGGAATGGGGAAGGAGGGAATGGGAAAGGGAATGGGAATGGGAATGGGGAAGGAGAGAATGGGAATGGGAATGGAGGGAATGGAAAATGGAATAGGGAAGGAGGGAATGGAAAAGGGAATGGGAATGGGGAAGGAGGGAACGGGAATGGGAATGGGGAAGGAGGGAATGGAAGATGATCCCTGCTTGGGATTTCTGGGAAAAAGGAATCCCCAGGGATGCTCCCGTGGGCCCCGTGATTATCCCAGGATCTGGGCTTGGCTGCTCCATGGAAATTTGGGATTCCACGGAATGCAGCCGATCCCTGCAGGATCCAGCTTTGGGATGCTCCGTGCCAGGAGCTCTTCAGAAGGAGGCTGGGGGATCCCAAAAAGGGATTGTTGGGATTTAGGGATCGCTCCGGAGCCATGGGATCGGCGGAGGACACGGAGTGGCTGCGCTGGGTGAGCAAAAGATTTGGGAATGTCGCTGGGAAGGAGAAGGAAATCAGCCTGGAAGAGTTCAAATCTGCCCTGCAGGTCAAGGAGGTCAGGGATCCCTGGGAAGAGGGAATGGGATCTGTGGGAAGAGGGAATGGGATCCCTGGGAAGAGGGAATGGGATCCGTGGGAAGAGGGAATGGGATCCGTGGGAAGGAGGGAATGGGATCCGTGGGAAGAGGGAATGGGATCTGTGGGAAGGAGGGAATGGGATCCATGGGAAGAGGGAATGGGATCCCTGGGAAGAGGGAATGGGATCCGTGGGAAGGAGGGAATGGGATCCCTGGGAAGAGGGAATGGGATCCGTGGGAAGAGGGAATGGGATCCGTGGGAAGAGGGAATGGGATCCGTGGGAAGGAGGGAATGGGATCCATGGGAAGGAGGGAATGGGATCCGTGGGAAGGAGGGAATGGGATCCGTGGGAAGGAAGGAATGGGATCCATGGGAAGAGGGAATGGGATCTGTGGGAAGAGGGAATGGGATCCCTGGGAACAGGGGAGGGATCCATGAGAGAGAGATAAGAGATCCTTGGGAAGAGCGGAGAGATCAGTTGGAATTCCCTGCTCCATGGAGCATTCCCTGATTCTCTGATCCATGAATAACATTCCCCGCTCCGTGGGAATATTCCCCCATTCCCTGCTCCACGAAGAACATTCCCATTCCCTGCTCCATGGGACCATTCCCTGCTCCATTGGAACTTTCCCAATTCCCTGCTCCATGGGACCATTCCCTGCTCCACTGGAACTTTCCCATTCCCTGCTCCACGGGAACATTCCCAATCCCTGCTCCATGGGACCATTCCCTGCTCCATGGGAATATTCCCAATTCCTTGCTCCATGAAGAACATTCCCTGCTCCATGGGAATATTCCCCCAATTCCCTGATCCATGAAGAACATTCCCTGCTCCATGGGAATATTCCCAATTCCCTGCTCCATGGGAATATTCCCCCAATTCCCTGATCCATGAAGAACATTCCCTGCTCCATGGGAATATTCCCAATTCCCTGCTCCATGGGAACATTCCCTGCTCCACGGGAACATTCCCGCTTTTCCCGCAGTCCTTCTTTGCCGAGAGGTTTTTTGCGCTCTTCGATTCCGACGGGAGCGGCTCCCTGAGCCAGGAGGAGCTGCTGGGATCCCTGCGCCGGCTGCTCCGCGGGAATTCCATGGAAAAGCTCCACTTCCTCTTCCAGGTGTACGACGTGGACGGTGAGAGGAGAAAAACGGGATTCTTTGGGGTTTTTTGGGATAGATTTGGGATTTGGTCTTCTCTGAGCGTCCGGCTTTGGCTGGGATGAGGCTGCTGCCCTCATTCCATGTGGGAATGGGAAAATTCCAGCGGGAAGCCAAGGATCCAAGGATTCCATTGGTCACACTCGCTCCAATCCCAGCTCCCATCCCGCTTTCCCGAAATTCTGGGATCATTTGGGTTGGAAAAGCCCTCAGGGATTAAATCCAACCCTTCCCACGCCCGACCCTGTCCCCAAGTCCCCTTCCAAGGTCGCCCTTTCCAGGAAGGAATATTCCCAAACTTCCCCGGATGCCATTCCCATGATCCTCTCCCTGGTTCCTGGGAGCAGATCCTGACCCACCCAGGATATTCCACCCTGCAAGGAAAATTCCTGGATTGGGACGGGAAAATTGGGATGGAGGTGACTCCATGGGCTGTGGGATATTGGGATGGAGGTGACTCCATAGGGCTCTGGAATATTGGGATGGAGGTGGCTCCGTAGGACTGGAATTTTGGGATGGAGGTGGCTCCGTAGGGCTGGAATATTGGGATGGAGGTGACTCCATAGGACTGGAATTTCGGGATGGAGGTGGCTCCATAGGGCTATGGGATATTGGGATGGAGGTGACTCCATACAGCTGGAATATCGGGATGGAGATGACTCCGGAGGGTATCGGGATGGAGATGACTCCTGAGGGCTGTGGGATATCGGGATGGAGTGACTCCATAGGACTAGAATTTTGGGATGGAGGTGACTCCGGAGGGCTGTGGGATATCGGGATGGAGATGACTCCAGAGGGTATCGGGATGGAGATGACTCCAGAGGGTATCGGGATGGAGATGACTCCATGGGCTGTGGGATATCGGGACGGAGATGACTCCATGGGCTGTGGGATATCGGGATGGAGGCGCCTCCATAGGGCTGGAATTTCGGGATGGAGATGACTCCGGAAGGCTGTGGGATATCGGGATCCTCCCGGCTCCAGGGAGCGGCTCCATCGACGCCGAGGAGCTGCGGGTGGTGCTCCGGGGGTGTCTCCGGGAGAATTCCCTGGCCCTTCCCGAGGAGCGGCTCGGGGCCCTGAGCCAGGCCCTGCTCCAGGCCCTGGACCGGGATCACAGCGGCTCCATCACCTTCCCGGAGCTGCGGGAGCAGCTGGAGGCGTTCCCCGAGCTCCTGGAGAGCCTGAGCAGCAGGTGGGGACGGGAACTCCGGGATTTCTGGGAAAGGATCCCATGGGGAGCCCACAGCGGGTTGGGAGCAGCTGGAGAGGTTTGGGATTGGAGCGGAGATGGGTCGGGATGGGGCAGGGTTTGGATTTTGGGATGGATTTTGGGATGGGGCAGGGTTTGGATTTTGGGATGGATGCAGGGATGGATTTTGGGATGGATGCAGGGATGGATTTTGGGATGGATGCAGGGTTTGGATTTTGGGATGGATGCAGGGATGGATTTTGGGATGGATGCAGGGATGCTGCCACTCTGGCTGTAGGGCTGGGGACTTCTCCAGCTCCCTGTTCTCCATCCAAACCCCCCAAATTCCCATCCGAACCCCCCAAATTCCCATCCAAACCCCTACAAATTCTCACCCAAACCCCTCCAAATTCCCATCCAAACCCCCCCAAATTCCATCCGAATCCCCCAAATTCCCACCCAAACCCCCCAAATTCCCACCCGAACCCCTCCAGATTCTCACCCAAACCCCTCCAAATTCCCCATCCAAACCCCCCCAGATTCCCAGATGAACCCCCCAAATTCCCATCCGAAACCCCCCAAATTCCCATCCAAACCCCTCCAAATTCCCCATCCGAACCCCCAAATTCCCATCTGAACCCCCCAAATTCCCATCCAAACCCCCCAAATTCCCATCCAAACCCCCCAAATTCACATCTGAACCCCCAAATTCCCATCCAAACCCCCCAAAATTCCCACCCAACCCCCAATTCCCATTTTCCCAGTGCTGCCAGCTGGCTGAAGCCCCCCAGTCCCAGCCCTGCTGAGCCCTGGCTGTGCTGCTTTTCCCGGGAATCCCATGAGGATCACCGGGCCGGGATCTGCTGCTTTTCCCGGGAATCCCATGAGGATCACCGGGCCGGGATCTGCTGCTTTTCCCGGGAATCCCGGGTGGATCACCGAGCCGGGATCTGCTGCTTTTCCCGGGAATCCCTCCGGGATCACCGTGCCCGGTGGTGCTGCCTGGGGCTCTGGGTCGCCACCTCGGCGCTCCTGCTCGCCCTGGGGGCTCTGTGGCACCGGGAGCGCGGCCCGGCCCTGGCACTGGCCCGGGGCTGCGGGCAGAGCCTCAACCTCAACTGCGCCCTGCTGCCCGTGAGTGCCCGGGACACCGGGGGGACACCGGGGGGACACGGGGGGACATCGGGGGACACCGGGGGGCACGGCCGGGAGGGAGCCGGGAAGGCCGGGAGGGGCCCGGGGTAGCCAGGAGGGATGCTGGCCCAAAGTTTCCTGTTGTTTCCGGAGTTTCCCATTGTCCCCCTGGAATTTCCCATTGTCCCCCCATGAAATTTCCCATTGTCCCCCAATATTTGCCAGTCCCCCACTTGGAATTTCCCGTTGTCCCCCTGGAATTTCCCATTGTCCCCCTAAAATTTCCCAGTTCCCCCTGGAATTTTCCATTGTCCCCCAACATTTCCCATTGTCCCCCTGGGATTTCCCATTGTCCTCCTGGAATTTCCCGTTGTCCCCCTAGAATTTCCCATTGTCCCCCTGGAATTTCCCAGTTCCCCATGAAATTTCCCATTGTCCCCTTGGAATTTCCCATTGTCCCCCCTGGAATTTCCCATTGTCCCCCAACATTTCCCATTGTCCCCCCTGGAATTTCCCATTGTCCCCCAGCATTTCCCATTGTGCCCCTGGAGTTTCCCATTGTGCCCCTGGAGTTTCCCATTGTCCCTCTGGAATTTCCCATTGTCCCCCAACATTTCCCATTGTCCCCCCATGAAATTTCCCATTGTCCCCCTGGAATCTCCCATTGTCCCCCTGGAATTTCCCATTGTCCCCCTGGAGTTTCCCATTCCCCCTAAAATTTCCCATTGCCCCCCTGGGATTTCCCATTGTCCCCCTGGAATTTCCCAGTTCCCCCCTGGAATTTCCCAGTTCCCCCCTGGAATTTCCCATTGTCCGCTTGGAATCTCCCATTGTTCCCCTGGGATTTCCCATTGTCCCCCTGGAATTTCCCAGTTCCCCCTGGGATTTCCCATTGTCCCCCAACATTTCCCAGTCCTCCACCTGGAATTTCCCGTTCTCTCCCGCCGTTCCCGTTCTCCCGGTTATCTCCCAGTGCCTCCCATTTCCATTTGGCATCTCCGGGTGCCCTGGGCCCCCCCTCCTCGCCCACTGCGCGTCCCTGTTCCCTGTCCCCACCGCTGTCCCTTGTCCCCTCCCTGTCCCGGTCCCTGCCCTCACCCCTGTCCCTTCTTTGCCTCCTGTCCCTGTCTTCACTCCTGTCCCTCTCCCCTGTCGCTGTCCCCGCTGTCCCTGCCCTTGTCCCCGTCCCTCACCTCCATTCTGTCCCCTGTCCCTGTCCCCTATCCCCTGTCCCTCTCCCCTGTCCCCTCTTTGCCCCCTGTCCCCTATCCCCTGCCCCTGTCCCTGCCCTGTCCCCTGTCCCTGTCCCCTGTCCCCTCTTTGCCCCCTGTCCCTCCCCTGTCCCTGTCCCCTGTCCCTGTCCCTGTCCCGTGGCTGTCCCCTGTCCCCTGTCCCCTGTCCCCTGTCCCCAGGCGCTGATGCTGCGGCGCTCCCTGACCCGGCTCCGTTCCACGCCGCTGGCGGAGCTGTTCCCGCTGGAGCTGCACGTGCGGGGCCACGAGCGCGTGGGACACCTGGTGCTGGCCCTGGGGACAGCCCACGCGGGGGCACACCTGGCACGGGCGGGTCAGTGACACGGGGCACACCTGGCACGGGCGGGTCAGTGACACGGGACACGGGACACAGCTGGCACGGGCGGGTCAGTGACACGGGACACGGGTGGGTCAGTGACACGGGACAGGGGGACAGGGAGCCCAGGGATGGGATCGTGTCCCGGGATGCCGTGGAAGGGGTTCCCGTGTCCCAAGGAGTGGGGGGTGCCCTGGAGAAGGGGTGCCCGTGCCAGGGGGGCTGTGAGGGCACGGACAGGGGACAGGGCACGGACAGGGGACAGGGACAGGGGACAGGACACAGCCGCGGGCTCCGATCCCCCTCTAGCGGCTCCCGCCGGGCAGCCGAGGTCGTGAGCGGGATCCCAAATCCTGGCACCCCACATTCCCAAATCCCGGCACCCACACCCTGGTACCCCCAGCCCCCAGCCCAGAGCGGTGCCAGGGCTCTGTCCCCCCCCAGGGGCCACCTTTGCTCCCCCTGCCCCTCCCGGGACAGCACCCCCGGGACAGCCGGGACATGGGCCGGGACCGTGCCGGGCTCTGGGCATTCCCGAGGGGGCATTCCCGGTGGGGCATTCCCGGGGTGGCATTCCCAGGGGGTTATTCCCGGTGGGGCATTCCCAGTGGGCCATTCCCGGGGTGGCATTCCCGAGGTGTCAATCCCGGGGTGGCATTCCCGGGGTGGCATTCCCAGGGGGTTATTCCCGAGGTGTCAATCCCGGGGGGACATTCCCGGGGGTGGCATTCCCGGGGTTATTCCAGGGGGGTTATTCCCGGTGGGATATTCCCGGGGTGGCATTCCCGGGGTGGCATTCCCGAGGGGGTTATTCCCGGTGGGACATTCCCAGGGGGTTATCCCCGGCGGGCCATTCCCGGGAGTGGCATTCCCAGGGGGTTATTCCCGGTGGGACATTCCCGGGGTGGCATTTCCAGGGGGTTATCCCCGGCGGGCCACTCCCGGGGGTGGCATTCCCAGGGTGGCATTCCCGAGGTGTCAATCCCGGGGGCGGCATTCCCGAGGTGTCATTCCCAGGGTGGCATTCCCAGGGTGCCATTCCCAGGGTTATTCCAGGGGGGTTATCCCCGGCAGCCACTCCCGGGGATGGCATTCCCAGGGTGACATTCCCAGGGTGTCAATCCCGGGGGTTATTCCCCGCGGGCCACTCCCGGGGGTGGCCGGTCGCTGCTGAGCCGTGCCGTGTCCCCAGGCCTGGCCGGGTCACTGGCCCCGGGTGGCGTTGGTGGCTGTGCCCCGCAGACCGGGCTGGCCCTGCTGGCGCTGCTCCTGCCCATGCTCGCCTGCTCCAGCCCCTGCGTGCGCCGCGGCGGCCACTTCCAGGTGATCCCACGGGAATTCCCGGCTGGGAGGTCGGTGGGATTTGGGGGCGCCCATCCTGGCGCTGCCCCGTGGGACACCACGCTCGCAGTTCGGGATTCCCGGGATTTTCTTCCCCAGGGGGTGATTTCCCAGTTGGGAAGGAATTCCTGGCTGGGAGGGGGTGGGATGGAATTCCAGGAGAAGCTGTGGCTGCTCCTGGATCGCTGGGAGTGTCCCTGGAGCAGCCTGGGATAGCGGGAGGTGTTGGGATTGGGGTCCTTTCCAAGCCAAATCCCAGGGATTCCATCATTCCCTGGAGCAGCCTGGGATAGCGGGAGGTGTTGGGATTGGAACTGGATGGGTTTGGGGTCCTTTCCAAGCCAAATCCCAGAGATTCCAGGATTCCCTGGAGCAGCCTGGGATAGCGGGAGGTGTCAGGATTGGGGTCCTTTCCAAGCCAAATCCCAGGGATTCCAGGATTCCCTGGAGCAGCCTGGGATAGCGGGAGGTGTCGGGATTGGGGTCCTTTCCAAGCCAAATCCCAGAGATTCCAGGATTCCCTTGGGCTGCCTTTTCCCGCTGGGATACCCAGACAGCCCCACCAAGAAGCACCATTTGGGTCCAGCACTTCCCATGCCCATTCCCGTTCCCATTCCCGCTCCCATTCCCAGCTTTTTTACTGGAGCCACCTCTCCTACATCCCCGTGTGGTTCCTGCTGCTCCTGCACGCTCCCCAATTCTGGAAGTGGTTCCTCGTTCCCGGCTCCCTGTTCGTGCTGGAGAAGGTTCTGGGCTGGGCGTGGCGCCGGGCGGGGGATCTGCACATCCTGGAGGCCAAACTGCTGCCCTCCAAGGTGGGAGTAAATCCCAAAAAATCCCAAATATCCCAAATCCCAAACCTCCCAAATCCCACCATCCTATCCATCCCAAATCCCATCCACCCCAAATTCCTTACACCGCACTTCCCATCCATCCATCCATCCATCATCCATCCATCCATCCATCCATCCATCCATCCATCATCCATCCATCCATCATCCATCATCCATCCATCCATCCATCCATCCATCCATCCATCCATCATCCATCCATCCATCCATCATCCATCCATCCATCCATCCATCCATCCATCCATCCATCCATCCATCCATCATCCATCCATCCATCTATCCATCCATCATCCATCCATTCCAAATTCCCACTATCCGCTGCACGGAACCCAGCGGGAGGTTCCCCTTGGCCATTCCCGGTTTTCCTGCTCCCGCTCTCCCGCAGGTGACCCACCTGGTGATCCAGAGGCCGAAATCCTTCCGCTTCCAGCCGGGGGATTTTGTCTACCTGAACATCCCGGCCATCGCCGCCTACGAGTGGCACCCCTTCTCCATCAGCAGCGCCCCGGAGCAGCCAGGTTCTGTGTTCCCTGCCAACGCCCCTGGAATTTTCCCTTAACATCCCTGGGATCGGTGACCCATCCCTGGGATCTGTGACCCATCCCTGGGATCTGTGTCACACCCCCAGGATCTGTTTTCCATCCCTGGGATCAGTTTTCCATCCTCAGGGTCTCTTTTCCACCCTCAGGATCTGTTTTTCATCCTCAGGATCTGTTTCCCATCTTGGAATATTACCCATCCCTGGAATATTTCCCATCCCTGGAATATTTCCCATCCCTGAGATCTGTTTTCCATCCCCAGGATCTCTTTTCCACCCACAGGATCGGTTTTCCTACCTGGGATCTGTTTTCCCATTTGGGATCTGTTTTCCCATCCTTGGCATCCGTGTCCCACCCTTGGGATCTGTGTCCCATCCCTGGAATGTTTCCCACCCTTGGGATCTGTTTTCCCATTTGGGATCTGTTTTCCCATTTGGGATCTGTATTCCCACCCTTGGGATCTGTTTCCCATCCCTGGAATGTTTCCCACCCTTGGGATCTGTTTTCCCACCCTTGGGATCTGTTTTCCCATTTGGGATCTGTTTCCAACCCTTGGGATGCGTTTCCCATCCCTGGATCTCTTTTCCATGCCCACGGTGACGTTTTTCCAGCTCGGACGGGGCTTGGAGCGAGCCGGGCTATGGAAGGCGGTTCCATGGGATGAGTTGGGTTTGAAGTTCTTCCCAATCCAGAGAATTCCAGGATTTTTGGGATTGATCCCACAGAAACCCTCTGGCTGCACATCCGGGCGCGGGGCCAATGGACCACCAAGCTCTACGAGTACTTCCAGCAGCGGGAATCGCACGGCCCGGAGCCGAATCCGCCCGGGAAGGGCTGGAGGGAGCGGAGGAGCCGGGAACAGGTGGGACTGTGGGATTGGGACCAAAGGGATGGATGGGTGCAGCTGGACGTGGAGTGGATCCCATGGGATCATCCCAGCCCGGGAATCCCTCGGGATGAACATTCCCTGCTCGTCCAGCCTTGAAGGATTTGTATCCCATGGAACGGGAATTGTGTCCCTCCATTAGGGTCACACAGCCACACAAATTCCCATCGGTGGGGTTTGGGATGGATGGATACATGGGATGGTGGGATTTGGGATTTGTGCTCCATGGAATGGGATTTGGGATGCATAGATGGATGGAGGATGGATGGGATTGATGGGATTTTGTGCTCCATGGAATGGGATTTGGGATGCATGGATGGATGGGGGATTGATGGGATTTTGTGCTCCATGGAACGGGATTTGGGATGGATGGTGGGATTTGGGATTGATGGGATTTTGTGCTCCATGGAACGGGATTTGGGATGGATGGATGGGATGGTGGGATTTGGGATGGATGGGATTTTGTGCCCCGTGGAATGGGAATTCCTATGACCCCGCTGGAGGCCCAGCAGATCCTGGGAGCGCTGATCCCAGCGCTGATTCCCGGCCTTTGTTCCCAGGAAGGATCCGTGGCCTCGGGCAGGGATGGAGCCGTGGAGCTGACGGCGTTCCGAGCCTCCGGAGCTGCTTTCCCGGGAAAGGACCCGGAGCAGGGGGTGAGCACTGCCCCCATCCCAGGGGACAGGGATTGGATCCCAAATGGGATAAAGCTCCTTCAAAAGCTCCTCTTCGGAAAAAATTCCTTGGATATTATTGTGGCATTGGCAGCTGGAATTGTGTGTGCAGCCCAGTGGGAAAACACTTCAAATCCAGGGAATTTTGGGAATGCTTGGGAAGGGGGGGATGGTCACTGCTCCCCTCTCCTGCAGGGCGCCGGGCCCGGGGAGACCCAGCGGAGCTGCAGCGTCAAGGTGAGGATGTTCCCGCCTTTCCTGGGTCCTGGAAAATGGGCTGGGATCAGCATTCCCACCATCCCATCCCCATCCCCATCCCATTCCCATTCCCATTCCCATTCCCATTCCCATTCCCATTCCCATCCCATTCCCATCCCATCCCCATCCCCATCCCATCCCATCCCATCCCATCCCATCCCCATTCCCATCCCCATTCCCATCCCCATTCCCATCCCCATTCCCATCCCCATCCCATCCCATCCCATCCCATCCATCCCCATCCCCATCCCCATCCCCATCCCCATCCCCATCCCCATCCCATCCCCATCCCCATCCCCATCCCCATCCCCATCCCCATCCCATTATCCCATCCCATTATCCCATCCCATTATCCCATCCCATTATCCCATCCCATTATCCCATCCCATTATCCCATCCCATTATCCCATCCCATTATCCCATCCCATTATCCCATCCCATTATCCCATCTCATTATCCCATCCCATCCCCATCCCCATCCCATCCCCATCCCATCCCCATCCCCATCCCCATTCCCATTCCCATTCCCATCCCATCCCATCCCATCCCATCCCATCCCATTCCCAGCTGCTCCATCCCTGTATCCCTGTGCACGGATGATCCCACCTGCTGGAAAACTCCACTCCTTCCCACCCACTCCTTGCTCCCACAAAACCCCGGGAAGATCCCAAATTCCGGGATCCCCTTTGTGCCCTTCTCCTCCGCCCGGGAGCTGCTCCAGCCCCTGGAAATCCTGGATCTATCCCAGTGCTTCCTGGACGGTCCGTACGGAACTCCGAGCCGGCGGATCTTCACCTCGGAGCACGCCGTCCTCATCGGGGCCGGCATCGGGATCACCCCCTTCGCCTCCATCCTGCAGAGCATCATGTTCCGGTGGGTCCCCCCAGCCCCTGGAATCGGGAATATCCCAGGGATTGATGGCACGGATGCCTGGGGGGAGCTGATCCTTGGGATTCAGTCCTTGGGATTCTGTCCTTCCTTGGGATCCATCCCCATGGCCTCTCGCTGTGCCAGGATTTTCCTTGGGAATTTGGAGGGAATTTGGCTGTGGGTTAGGAAGGGGAGGGAACGGGAAAGAAAGGGGCAGGAAAAGGAAGGAGGGAGCAGGAATGGGAAAGAAGGAGCAGGAAAAGGCAGGAATGGGCAGGAAAAGGCAGGAAGGAGCAGGAAAAGAAGGAAGGAGCAGGAATGGGAAAGAAGGAGCAGGAAAAGGCAGGAAGGAGAAGGAAAAGGGATGAAGGAGCAGGAATGGGAGCAAAAAGGAGCAGGAAAGGGCAGGAAGGAGCAGGAATGGGAAAGAAGGAGCAGGAAAAGGCAGGAATAGGCAGGAAGGAGCAGGAATGGGCAGGAAGGAGCAGGAATGGGCAGGAAAAGGCAGGAATGGGCAGGAATGGGAAAGCAGGAGCAGGAAAAGGCAGGAATGGGCAGGAAGGAGCAGGAATGGGAAAGAAGGAGCAGGAAGGATCAGGAAAAGGCAGGAAGGATCAGGAAGGGGCAGGAAAAGGCAGGAATGGGCAGGAATGGGCAGGAAGCGCCGCTCCCCCGGCAGGTACCGGCGGCGGAAGCAGAGCTGCCCCAGCTGCCATTTCTCCTGGAGCGAGGAACGGCGGGATGAGGAGATGACGCTCCGGAAGGTGGGAACGGGAACACGAGGGGATGTGGGATCCAGGCTCCGCCTGGGATGGGGCTGCAGGGTCCTGCAGAGCTTGGGAGCATCCCTCAAATCCGGGAGCTTTGGGAATGGGGCCTGGATCTGGTGTCGGGATTTGGTGTTGGGATTTTGTGTTGGGATCCGGTGCTGGGATTTGGTGTCAGGATTTTGTGTCGGGATCTGGAACTGGGATCTGCTGTTGGGGATTTGGTGCTGGGATTTGGCACCAAGATCTGGTGCTGGGATTTGGTGTTGGGATTTTGTGTCGGGATCTGGTGTCAGGATTTGGTTTCAGGATCTGGCGCCAGGATCCGCTGTTGGGATTTGGAACCAAGATCCGGTGCTGGGATTTGGTGTCGGGATCTGGTGCTGGGATTTGGTGCTGGGATTTGGTGTCAGGATCCGGTGCTGGGATCTGGAACTGGGATCTGCTGTTGGGGATTTGGTGCTGGGATTTGGAACCAAGATCCGGTGCTGGGATCCAGCACTGGGATCTGGTGCCGGGATCTGGTGCTGGGATCCAGCACCGGGATCTGGTGAGTGCCCACGCCGAGGCTTTCCCACCCCAAAATCCAGGTGGATTTCATCTGGATCACGCGGGACCAGCAGCACCTGCAGTGGTTCCTGGGCCTCCTGGCCAAGCTGGAGACGGAGCAGGCGGAGCTGGAGCCGGGAGGTGAGCGGGGAGCGCCATTCCCGGGAAAACCCGCGGGGTGGGATCCCGGCGGGCACTGGAAGCGCCGGGATTCGCAGGGAATTTCCTGGAGCTGCAGCTGTACATGACCTCGGCGCTGGGCTGCGGGGACGTGCGGGCGCTGGGGCTGCAGCTGGCGCTGGAGCTGCTGGCGGCCCGCGAGCAGCGCGATTCCATCTCCGGCCTCCGCAGCCGCACCCGGCCCGGCCGCCCCCACTGGGACAAGGTCAGGGAATCCGGGATCCGCGGAGCGGGAATGCTGGGGGGTGCGGAGAGGGTGAGCGGTGCCGAGGGAGGGAGCGGGGAATTGGGGAATGGAGCAGGGAATGGGAGCAGAGAATTGGGGAATGGAGCAGGGAATGGGAGAACTGGGGAATGGGATCAGGGAATGGGAGCAGAGAACTGGGGAATGGGATCATGGAATCAGGGAATGCAGTCATGGAATCATGGCACAGGGTCAGAGAATCAGGGAATGGGATCATGGAATAAGGGAATGGATCATGGAATAGGAGCAGAGAACTCGGGAATGGGATCATGGAATGGGAGCAGAGAACTGGGGAATGGATCATGGAATGGGAGCAGAGAACTGGGGAATGGGATCATGGAATGGGAGCAGAGAATTGGGGAATGGGATCATGGAATGGGAGCAGAGAATTGGGGAATGGATCAGGGAATGGGAGCAGAGAACTGGGGAATGGATCAGGGAATGGGAGCAGAGAACTGGGGAATGGGATCATGGAATGCAGTCATGGAATCATGGCACAGGATCAGAGAATCAGGGAATGGGATCATGGAATAGGAGAATGGATCATGGAATGGGAGCAGAGAACTGGGGGATGGAATCGGGGAATGTAATCATGGAATCATGGAATGGGATCATGGAATCAGGGAATGGGATCATGGAATCATGGTATAGGATTGGGGAATGGGATCATGAGATCAGGGAATGGCATTGGGGAATGGGATCACGGAAGAGGATCAGAGAATTGGGGAATGGAGTCGGGGAATGGGATCAGGGAATCATGGTATGGGATCAGGGAATGGGATCACGGGATCATGGAATGGGATCACAGGATCAGGGAATCAGGGAATGGGATCATGATCATGGAATGGGATCATGGGATCAGGGAATGGGATCACGGGATCATGGAATGGGATCACGGGATCAGGGAATCAGGGAATGGGATCATGATCATGGAATGGGATCATGGGATCAGGGAATGGGATCAGAGAACTGGGGAATGGAATCAGGGAATGGGATCATAGAATCATAGTATGGGATCAGAGAATCAGGGAATAGAATCATGGAATAGGATCAGAGAACTGGGGAATGGAATCATGGACTGGGATCATGGAATCAGGGAATGGGATCATGGTATCATGGAATGGGATCAGAGAATCAGGGAATGGGTTGGGAGAGGATGGGAAGATGATCTCTTTCCAAGCTTCTCATTCTGGGTCAGATTCTGGAATCATGGAATGGGATCATGGGCTCGTGGAATGGGGTCAGAAAATCATGGAATGGTGTCAGAAAATCATGGAATGGGGTCAGAGAATCATGGAATGGGGTCAGAGAACCAGGGAACAGGATCAGAGAAATGGGGAATGGGATCAGAAAATTATGGAATGGTGTCAGAGAACTGGGGAATGGGATTGGAAAATCATGGAATGGGATCACAATCATGGAATGGGTTGGGCTGGAAGGGACCCCAGAGATGGACTTGTCCCAGGTGTCTCCTCTAGCCCGGGATGACGGGATGGGATCCCGGGATGGTGGAAGGGGCAGGGAGGGCAGGGAATGGCAGATCCCGGGATGGTGGAACGGGCAGGGAGGGCAGGGAATGGCAGATCCCGGGATGGTGGAACGGGCAGGGAGGGGAGGGAATGGCAGATCCCGGGATGACAGAACGGGCAGGGAGGGGAGGGAATGGCAGATCCCGGGATGGTGGAACGGGCAGGGAGGGGAGGGAATGGCAGATCCCGGGATGACAGAACGGGCAGGGAATGGCAGATCCCGGGATGGTGGAAGGGGCAGGGAGGGCAGGGAATGGCAGATCCCGGGATGACAGGACGGGCAGGGAGGGGAGGGAATGGCAGATCCCGGGATGGTGGAACGGGCAGGGAGGGGAGGGAATGGCAGATCCCGGGATGACAGAACGGGCAGGGAGGGCAGGGAATGGCAGATCCCGGGATGGTGGAAGGGGCAGGGAGGGCAGGGAATGGCAGATCCCGGGATGGTGGGACGGGCAGGGAATGGCAGATCCCGGGATGACGGAACGGGCAGGGAGGGCAGGGAATGGCAGATCCCGGGATGGTGGGACGGGCAGGGAGGGGAGGGAATGGCAGATCCCGGGATGACAGAACGGGCAGGGAATGGCAGATCCCGGGATGGTGGAACAGGCAGGGAGGGGAGGGAATGGCAGATCCCGGGATGGTGGAAGGGCAGGGAAGGGAGGGAATGGCAGATCCCGGGATGGTGGAAGGGCAGGGAGGGCAGGGAATGGCAGATCCCGGCCATTCCCAGCGCAGGTGTTCGGGAAGGTGGCGTTGGAGCGGCGTGGGAATGTCGCCGTGTTCTTCTGCGGCTCCGCGGCGCTGGCCGGGATCATCCGCCGGCACTGCCGCGCCTTCGGCTTCCGCTTCTCCAGGGAAAACTTCTGAGCGGAGCCGGTCCCGGGACGCCCAGCCCGGATCCGCGGGGACCGGGAGAGAGAGACGGGGCTGGGCCACGGAGCTCTGGGAATGTTTCCTTCGGATCCGAGAAAAAATCGGGAAAAGATGGGAATGTTTCCTTTGGATCCAAGAATAAACCAGGAAAAGATGGGAATGTTTCCTTCAGATCTGAGAAAAAAATCAGGAAAAGATGGGAATGTTTCCTTCAGATCCGAGAATAAATTGGGGAAAGATGGGAAACTTCCCTTTGGATTTGAGGAATAACTCAGGAAAAGGTGGGAATGTTTCCTTTGGATATGAGGAATAAATTGGGAAAAGATGGGAAACTTCCCTTTGGATTTGAGGAAAAGATGGGAAACTTCCCTTTGGGTCTCAGGAAAAGGTGGGAATGTTTCCTTTGGATCTGAGGAATAAATCAGGAAAAGATGGGAAACTTTCCTTTGGATCTAAGGAAAACATAGGAAACTTTCCTTTGGATTGGAGGAATAAATCAGGAAAAGATGGGAATGTTTCCTTTGACTCTGAGAATAAATCAGGAAAATATGGGAAACTTCCCTTTGGCTTTGAGGAAAAAAATGGGAAACTTTCCATTGGATCTGAGGAATAACTCAGGAAAAGGTGGGAATGTTTCCTTTGGATCTGGGGAATAAATCAGGAAAAGATGGGAAACTTTCCTTTGGATCTGGGAAAGAATTGGGGAAAAAATGGGAAACTTTCCTTTGGTTCTGAGGAAAAGATGGGAAACTTCCCTTTGGGTCTCAGGAAAAGGTGGGAAACTTTCTTTTGGATCTGAGGAATAAATCAGGAAAAGATGGGAATGTTTCCTTTGACTCTGAGAATAAATCAGGAAAATATGGGAAACTTTCCTTTGGATCTGAGGAAAAGATAGGAAACTTTCCTTTGGATTGGAGGAATAAATCAGGAAAGGATGGGAATGTTTCCTTTGACTCTGAGAATAAATCAGGAAAATATGGGAAACTTCCCTTTGGATTTGAGGAAAAGATGGGAAACTTTCCTTTGGATCTGAGAATAAGTCAGGAAAAGATGGGAATGTTTCCACTGGATCTGAGAATAAGTCAGGAAAAGATGGAAAACTTTCCTTTGGATTGGAGGAATATATCAGGAAAATGTGGGAAACTTTCCTTTGGATGTGAGAATAAATCAGGAAAAGGTGGGAATGTTTCCTTTGGATCTGGGGAATAAATCAGGAAAAGATGGGAATGTTTCCTTTGGATCTGGGGAAGGATTGAGGAAAAGATGGGAAAGTTTTCTTGGATCTGAGGAATAATTGAGGAATGTTGAGGTTGATGGAAGCAATTCCAGCTCCTTGGCAAAACCAAGGAAAAACCGGGATGGGAATCGGTGTCCGAGAGGTGCCGCTGCCTCCAATGTGGAATCTGCGCTGGATTGGGACTGGTTTTCCTGGTAAATCGAGGGAATCCAGGAATCAGGAGCCGGCGAGGCCGTGGATAACAATTCCTCTGGGAATTCCCGATTTTCCAGCCTTTCCCAGGCCTGGGATCCGCTCCGAAGCAGCAGCTCCTGGTGGGCGGGGTGCAGAATTCCCGGGGTTAGCGATGGATCGGGATTGAACCGTGTCCATCCTGGCTCTGCTGGGTTTATCCCGAGCTGGGCGGTTTTTAGGGATGGAGGATCTGGAATTTGTCTGGAATCATGGAATTCTTTCTGTTGGAAAACCCCTCGGAGCTCCTGGACTCCGACCAAGCTGCTGTCCCCAGGTGCCACATCCGAAGGGTTTCAATCCCTCCGGGATGTGACTGCAGCCCTGCCTGGCGGCTCTTCCATGCCTGGAGCTTTTTCCAGGTGGGAATTTTCCAGGCGGGAATTTTCCAGGCGGGAATTTCCCAGGTGGGAATTTTCCAGGCGGGAATTATCCCAACATTCCCAAACCTCCCCTGGTGCAGCCGCTCCCCCAGCCCCGCCGCTCTCCCGGTTCCTTCCATCCATTATCCATCGATTATCCATCGGTTATCCATCAATTACTCATTAATAATTAATAATTAATTATTCATTATTGGCGCCACCAAAACCGGCGGCTCCCGCCCCACGCGGCCCTGCCACGTGACCGCGCGGTGGGCGTGGCCCCCGCCAGCCAATCAACACCGCGCACCGCCCTCAAGCCCCGCCCCTTAATCGCGCGCTTCTGATTGGCCGCCGCCGCTCTCGCGGGAAGACGGGGCGGGGCCGCCCCCGCCGCTCCCCCCCCGGTACCACCGGAGGCCGCGCCGGTGCCAGCGGGGCCTGCGGCGCTGCCGGGGCCCCCCGCGGGTGCGAGCGGCGCCCGCAGCGCTCCCGGAGCCGCCCCGGGGTGGCGGCGGTGGTGGCGGCGGCGGCTGCGCCTCCTCCTTCCCGCCCCGCCCTACCCGGCGCCGTTATGGCGGCGGCACCGCCGCGCCGCGCTCTCCTATTGGCCGGCGCCCGCCCCCGCCGCGCGCTCCCATTGGCCGCGGCGCGCGAGGGCGGGGCCCCGCCGCGCGCCCCTCCGTGCTCCCCCCGCTGCCCCGCGCGGGTGGTTCCGCCGCCCGCCAGGCCCCGGGTAAAGGGAGCGGGGCCGGAATTCCCGGGAATTCCCGGGATAACGGGAACGGCGGGGATAACGGCATTGCTGGGAATCATGGCGGCGCGGGGGGACACGGGGCAGCGCGATTAGCCGCGGGCTGGGCGTGCTCGGAGCGTCTCGGGGCTGCTGCCGGAGCCTGGAATGAGGGAATGGGAGCGCTGGGAATTATTTGGGAATGCGGGAATGTGGGCCGGGAATGTGCGGGAATGCGGGATATGGGCTGGGGGAATGTGGAGTGCTGGAATCCCGGCTCTGGGATTCGGGAATACGGGATCTGGAATTTCCTGGGATCCCCTGAGGGTTTTCCTGGAATTCTGAAGCGTTTCCTGGGAATACCAGGATTTCCCTGGGAATGTCAGGATTTTCCTGGAATTCTGAGGAGTTTCCTGGGAATAGCAGGATTTCCCAGGAAAAGCTCCATCTGAGCTGCTCCAGCTCCATTTTTCCTGGTTTTCCCTGCAGGAATCCCAAGAGGAATCCGTAAATCCCGGGATTTTTGCCTCTGGAAGCTCGAGATGCATTAGGATTCCCAGAATTCCCAGAATTCCCTTTCCCTAAGGTAAGAGCAGCGCTGCTTTTCCCCATTCCCGTTTATTCCCGGCTCTGCTGGGATCCCTGGAGTTCCTCCCAGCTTGGATCCCACATTTCCCCAATTCCAGGGAATGTTGCCCCTCACCCTGGGACAGAGGCGCCATTCCTAGCTGGGAAATCCCAAATCCTTGTCCTGATCCCATTTGTCCGTGGTTTTCCCCGGAATATTCCACCATGAGTGCCATTCCCATCCAGGAAATCCCAAATCCCTTTCCTGACTCCATTTTTCCTGTTTTTTCCCAGGACTGCTGACCATTCCCATCTGGGAAATCCCAAATCCCTCTCTCTTGACCCCATTTTTCCCCATTTTTCCATGTTTTTCCCAGGAATGCAGGACTATGTGCTGACCATTTCTATTCAGGACATCCCAAATCCATGTTCTGACCCTGTTTTTCCGTATTTTTCCCTATTTTTCCTCAGGAAAGCAGCACCATGCGCTGCCTGGCCCTGCCACTGTGACCATTCCCATCCAGAACATCCCAAATCCATGTTCTGACCCCATTTTTCCATATTTTTCCCAGGAATGCAGCACCATTCCCATCCAGAATATCCCAAATCCATCTTCTGACCCCGTTTTTCCATACTTTTCCCTATTTTTCCCCAGGAATGCAGCACCATGTGCTGCCTGGCCCTGCCACCGCGACCATTCCCATCTGGGAAATCCCAAATCCATGTTCTGACCCCATTTTTCTGTATTTTTCCCTATTTTTCCCAGGAATGCAGGACCATTCCCATCCAGAACATCCCAAATCCATCTTCTGATCCCGTTTTTCCATGTTTTCCCCAGGAATGCAGCACCATGTGCTGCCTGGCCCTGTCACTGTGACCATTCCCATCTGGGAAATCCCAAATCCATGTTCTGACCCCGTTTTTCCGTATTTTCCCCATGAATGCAGCACCATTCCCATCCAGAACATCCCAACTCCCTGTTCTGACCCCGTTTTTCCCTATTTTTCCCTATTTTTCCTCAGGAATGCAGCACCATGCGCTGCCTGGCCCTGCCACTGTGACCATTCCCATCTGGGAAATCCCAACTCCATGTTCTGATCCCGTTTTTCCATGGTTTTCCCAGGAATATTCCACCATGAGTGCCATTCCCATCCAGGAAATCCCAAATCCCTTTCCTGACTCCATTTTTCCTGGTTTTTCCATGTTTTTCCCAGGAATGCAGGACTATGTGCTGACCATTCCTATTCAGGACATCCCAACTCCATGTTCTGACCCCGTTTTTCTGTATTTTTCCCTATTTTTCCTCAGGAAAGCAGCACCATGCGCTGCCTGGCCCTGTCACTGTGACCATTCCCATCCAGAACATCCCAAATCCATCTTCTGACCCTGTTTTTCCTCTATTTTCCCCAAGAAAGCAGCACCATGCGCTGCCTGGTCCTACCACCGTGACCATTCCCATCCAGAACATCCCAAATCAATGTTCTGACCCCGTTTTTCCCTATTTTTCCCCAGGAATGCAGCACCATGCGCTGCCTGGCCCTGCCACCGTGACCATTCCCATCTGGGAAATCCCAAATCCACGTTCTGACCCCATTTTTCCATGTTTTCCCCAGGAATGCAGCACCATTCCCATCCAGAACATCCCAAATCCATGTTCTGACCCCATTTTTCCCTATTTTTTCCCAAGAAAGCAGCACCATGCACTGCCTGGCCCTGCCACCGTGACCATTCCCATCCAGAACATCCCAACTCCATCTTCTAACCCCGTTTTTCCCCATTTTTCCCTATTTTCCCCCAGGAATGCAGCACCATTCCCATCAAGAACATCCCAAATTCATCTTCTGACCCCATTTTTCCATGTTTTCCCCAGGAATGCAGCACCATTCCCATCAAGAACATCCCAACTCCATCTTCTGACCCCATTTTTCCATGTTTTTCCCCAGGAATGCAGCACCATGCACTGCCTGGCTGTGCCACTCTGACCATTCCCATCCAGAACATCCCAAATCCATGTTCTGACCCCATTTTTCCATGTTTTTCCCCAGGAATGCAGCACCATGCGCTGCCTGGCCCGCCTCAGCTCCAAGGCTCTCCTGGTGCTCTGCTCCCTCCTGGCTCTGCTCTCGCTGCTGCTCTGGGCCCGCTGCTCCCAGCCCGCTCCGGAACGCCGCGGCAGCGCCGCCGGAATTCCCGACGGCGAGGAGGCCTCGCCGGGAAAGGCGGGAATGGCGGCGGGAATGGCGGCGGGGCCCAGGTACGAGGAGATCGACTGCGTCATCAACGAGGAGCAGACGGTGAAGGGGCGGCGCGAGGGCCAGGAGGTGTTCCTGCCCTTCAGCTGGCTGGAGAAATACTTCCAGGTGTACGGGCGCATCGCCCAGGCCGAGGGCCGCGAGCGCTTCGAGTTCTCCCACAGCTACTCCAAGGTGTACGCGCAGCGCGCGCCATACCGCCCCGACGGCGTCTTCATGTCCTTCGAGGGCTACAACGTCGAGCTGCGCGACCGCGTCAAGTGCATCAGCGGCGTGGAAGGTGCGGATGGCGGGGTTCAGCGGGGTTCAGCGGGGTTCAATGGGGTTCAGCGGGGTTCAGCGGGGTTCAGCGGGGTTCAGCGGGGTTCAGCGGGGTTCAGCGGGGTTCAGCGGGGTTCAGCGGGGTTCAGCGGGGTTCAGCGGGGTTCAGCGGGGTTCAACGGGGTTCCCGGGCTTGGGGTGAGCCTTAAAGGATCCTGGAAGCGCTCTGGGAAATATGCTGGAAGTCTGGAGTGACTTGGATGTCCTGGTGGGAATTCCTGGTGGTTCTTCCTTGAAACGTGATGGAAGTGCTCCTTAAAATGTGCTGGAAGTGCAGAGTGACCTGGATATTCTGTTGGGAATGTGGGAATCCTGGGCATTCCCAGGGTTGGGATGATCCTTAAAACATGCTGGAAGTGCAGCGTGACCTGGATGTTCTGGGGGGAATTCCTGGGGATTCCTGGGAATTTTTGGGGTTGGGATGATCCTTGAAATGTGCTGGAAGTGCAGCGTGACCTGGATGTTCTGGTGGGAATGTGGGAATCCTGGAGATTCCTGGGGATTCCGTGGGGTGGGATGGTCCTTGAAATGTGCTGGAAGTGCAGAGTGACCTGGATGTTCTGGTGGGAATCCTGGGGATTCTTCCTTGAAACATGCTGGAAGCGCTCCTTAAAACGTGCTGGAAGTGCAAAGTGACTTGGATGTTCTGGTGGGAATGTGGGAATCCTGGGCATTCCCAGGGTTGGGATGATCCCTAAAGGCTCCTGGAAGTGCAGAGTGAGCTGGATGTTCTGGTGGGAATCCAGGGGATTCTTCCTTGAAACATGTTGGAAGTGCTCCTTGAAATGTGCTGGAAGTGCAGAGCGAGCTGGATGTTCTGGTGGGAATTCCTGGAAATTCTTGGGGTTGGGATGATCCTTAAAGGCTCCTGGAAGTGCTCCAAGAAATGTGCTGGAAGTGTAGAGCGAGCTGGATGTTCTGGTGGGAATTCCTGAAGGTTCTTCCTTGAAACGTGATGGAAGTGCTCCTTAAAATGTGCTGGAAATGCAGAGCGAGCTGGGTGTTCTGGTGGGGATGTGAGAATCCTGGAGATTCCTGGGGATTCCTCGGGGTGGGATGGTCCTTGAAATGTGCTGGAAGTGCAGAGCGACCTGGATGTTCTGGTGGGAATTCCTGAAGGTTCTTCCTTGAAACGTGATGGAAGTGCTTCTTAAAATGTGCTGGAAGTGCAGAGTGAGCTGGATGTTCTGGTGGGAATTCCTGGAGATTCCTGGGAATTTTTGGGGTTGGGATGATCCTTGAAATGTGCTGGAAGCGCTCTGGGAAATGTTCTGGAAGTCTGGAGTGACCTGGATGTCCTGGTGGGAATCCAGGGGATTCCTGGGGTTGGGATGATCCTTAAAACATGCTGGAAGTGCAGAGTGACCTGGATGTTCTGGTGGGAATCCTGGAGATTCCCAGGAATTTTTGGGGTTGGGTTGATCCTTGAAATGTGCTGGAAGTCTGGAGTGACTTGGATGTCTTGGTGGGAATCCAGGGGATTCCCGGGGTTGGGATGATCCTTAAAGTCTCCTGGAAGTGCTCCAAGAAATGTGCTCGAAGTGCGGAGTGACCTGGATGTCCTGGTGGGAATGTGGGAATCCTGGAGATTCCTGGGGATTCCTGGGGGTGGGATGGTCCTTAAAATGTGCTGGAAGTGCAGAGCAAGCTGGATGTCCTGGTGGGAATATGGGAATGTGGGAATGTGGGAATGTGGGAATGGGGTTTTGTGGTGGCACCTCCAGCCTTGGGATCATCAAGGATGGGAGGGACGGGACACAGGGAATGGCTCCCAGTGCTGGGGGGCAGGGATAGATGGGATTTTGGGAAGGAGTTCTGGCTGGGCTGGAATTCCCAGAGAAGCTGGGCTGCCCCTGCATCCTGGGAATGTCCAAGACCAGCTTGGAGCACTCTGGGATGGTGGAAGCATCCCAAACCTTGGAAGGGCTGGAATGGGATGAGGTTCCCTTGCATCCAGCCCATCCCACAATTCCATAAAAGTTGCGGAGACCATGCCAGGGATTCCTCTGCCAGCTAAACCCACAGAATTCCAGATTTTAGTGGGAAAAGACCCAACCCCTCCTTCCCCAGGATTTCCCTCCAACCTCCAACAGCATTGATGGCGCTCCCGGAATTCTGGGGCGCAGAGGAGGAGTTTTCCCCTCATTCCAACGCTTCTATCCGTGTTTTTTTCCGGGCAGGAGTTCCTCTCTCCACGCAGTGGGGCCCTCAGGGCTACTTCTACCCCATCCAGATCGCCCAGTACGGGCTGAGCCACTACAGCAAGAACCTGACGGAGAAGCCGCCGCACGTGGAGGTGTACGAGACAGCGGGAGACGGGAACGGGAACGGGAATGGGAACGGGGAATGGACAGTGCCCAAGGGCTGCTCCCTCACCACCGTCTGGGACAAGTCCCGGCTCACCGGAGTCAAGCAGTTCTCCTGCCCAGGTGGGTGTTGGGAATTCCGGAGCAGGGAATGGGAGTTGTTGGGGGCTGGGGTTTTGTTTGGCCTTTGTTCCCAATCCTTCGTTCCCAACCTTTTTCATTCCCAAGCGTTCATTGCCAGTCCTTTGTTCCCCACCCTTTTAATTCCCAGTCCTTCCTTCCCAATCCTTTTTGTTCCCTATGCTTCATTTTCTGTCCTCTTCACTCTTCATCCTTTTCATTCTCTGTCCTTTTTCTTCCCCATCCTTTTCCTTACCAATCCTTCCTTCCCAGTCCTTTCATTCCCAGTCCTTCATTCCCAATTGTCCATATCCCATCCTTTTCATTTCCCATCCTTTCTTTCTCAATCCTTCATTCCCAGTCCTTCCTTCCCATCCTTTTCATTCCCAGTCCTTCATTCCCAGTCCCTAATTTCCCATCCTTTTCATTCCCAATCCTCCATTCCCCATCCTTTTCATTCCCAATTTTTCATTCCCAGTCCTGCATTCCCAGTCCTTCATTCCTCATCCTTTTCATTCCATATCCTTCCTTCCCCATCTTTTCATTCCCAGTCCTTATTCCCAGTCCTTCATTCCCAGTCCTTAATTTCCCATCCTTTTCATTCCCAATCCTCCATTCCCCATCCTTTTCATTCCCAATCCTTCATTCCCAATTTTTCATTCCCAGTCCTGCATTCCCAGTCCTTCATTCCTCATCCTTTTCATTCCATATCCTTCCTTCCCCATCTTTTCATTCCCAGTCCTTCATTCCCAATCCTTCATTCCCAGTCCTTCATTTCCCATCCTTTTCATTCCCAATCCTCCATTCCCATCATTTTCATTCCCAGTCTTTCATTCTCCATCCTTTTCATTCTCAATTTTTCATTCCCAGTCCTGCATTCCCAGTCCTTAATTTCCCATCCTTTTCATTCCTAATCCTCAATTCTCCATCCTTTTCATTCCAAATCCTCCATTCCCCACCCTTTTAATTCCCAATCCTTCATTCCCAGTCCTTCATTCCCCATCCTTTTCATTCCCAATTTTTCATTCCCAGTCCTGCATTCCCAGTCCTTCATTCCTCATCCTTTGCATTCCATATCCTTCCTTCCCCATCTTTTCATTCCCAGTCCTTATTCCCAGTCCTTCATTCCCAGTCCTTAATTTCCCATTCTTTTCATTCCCAATCCTCCATTCCCATAGTTTTCATTCCCAGTCCTTCATTCCCCATCCCTTCCATCCCCAATCCTTCATTCCCAGTCCAATCATGTAAAACATCCCAGAAACGCTGAATTATTGAAGGGCTGCTCTAAAAGCTTTGGAATCCCTCCCGGGAGCGGGGATGGCCTCTGGAATCCTCCCCAACCCTTGGGAAAGGCGAATCCTCCCGTGCCGAGCCGGCCTTTTCCCGGGCTTTGCTTTTTTTGCAGAAAGCTCCGAGGGCGTCTCCCTGGAGCTGAACAACGGCCGGGATTTCATCATCTCCTTCGACCTGAAGCTGCTGAGCAACGGCAGCGTGTCCGTGGTGTTGGAGACCACGGAGAGGAACCAGCTCTTCACCGTGCACTACGTGTCCAGCACGCAGCTCATCGCCCTCCGCGACCGGGACATCTTCTACGGCATCGGCGCGCGCGGCAGCTGGAGCACGCTGACCCGGGACCTGCTGACGGACCTGCGCAAGGGCGTGGGGCTCTCCAACACCAAGGCGGTGAAGCAGACCAAGATCATGCCCAAGCGGGTGCTGCGCTTGGTGGCCAAAGGCCGCGGCCTCCTGGACAACGTCACCATCTCGGCCACCGCCCACATGGCCGCCTTCTTCGCCGCCAGCCGCTGGCTGCTGCGCAACCAGGACGAGCGCGGCGGCTGGCCCATCATGGTCACCAGGAAGTTGGGAGAAGGCTTCAAATCCTTGGATCCGGGCTGGTACTCGGCCATGGCGCAAGGCCAGGCCATGTCCACGCTGGTCAGGGCCTACCAGCTGACCAAGGATCCGGCGTTCCTGGGCGCGGCGCTGCGGGCCACGGCGCCCTTCAAGCTGCCGGCGGAGCAGCGCGGGGTCAAGGCGGTGTTCATGAACCGGCACGACTGGTACGAGGAGTACCCCACCACGCCCAGCTCCTTCGTGCTCAACGGCTTCATGTACGCCCTGATCGGCCTCTACGACCTGAAGGAGACGGCGGGGGAGAAGCTGGGCAAGGAGGCGCGGCTGCTCTACGAGCGCGGCATGGAGTCGCTCAAGGCCATGCTGCCGCTCTTCGACACCGGCTCCGGCACCATCTACGACCTGCGGCACTTCATGCTGGGCACGGCGCCCAACCTGGCGCGCTGGGACTACCACACCACCCACATCAACCAGCTGCAGCTGCTGGGCTCCGTCGACGACGCGCCCGTCTTCAAGGAGTTCGTCAAGAGGTGGAAGAGTTACCTGCGGGGAGGGCGGGCCAAGCACAACTGAGCTCCTCCCGCCCGCCCTTCCCAAAAACACGGGCCTTAAAACTGCTCCCGGGAAAGCTTGGGATCGGGACGCTCTCCGGCGCCGAGGTTGGGGTTTTGTTGGGATTGGCGTTTCCTCTCCCAAGGGAAACCTTTGCAGAAGCCATAGAAGTCTCGTGGGGCGCGGTGGCTGCCCGGAGGGCGCATCCAGCGCCTCTGGAAGTGGGATTTTGTGTCCGTGGTGTTGGAGCGGCTCCCGCGGGATGAGCGCCGTGCACGGGAATCGCTCGGAGCCTGGGAGAGCGAAGCGTGGCTTTAAAGCGGTGAGGGGGGAGGGGGGGTTTCCCTAGGGATTCGCTTTTTCGGGACGAAAAATCCCCAGTTGGAATTTTTCGGCAGCTTCTCTGCCTGGAGATCCTGGAGCTGGAGGGTTTTTTCATGGAAAACACGTGCCCGGCATTATGGAAGCACAACTGGGAGCCTGGAGCACACAGCCCCAGGCCACCAGCACCGGTGTCCCCTCGGAGCTGGGATCTTTATCCCGGTCACTGGAATTCCCTCAGAGCTGGGATCCCTTATCCCGGTGACTGGAATTCCCTTGGAGCTGGGATCCCTTATCCCTGTCACCAGAACTCCCTGGGAGCTGGGATCCTTATCCCAGTGACTGGAATTCCCTTGGAGCTGGGATCCCTTATCCCTGTCACCGGAATTCCCTCAGAGCTGGGATCACTTATCCCTGTCACTGGAATTCCCTCGGAGCTGGGATCTTTATCCCGGTCACTGGAATTCCCTCGGAGCTGGGATCCCCTTTCCCGATCACCAGAATTCCCTCAGAGCTACGATCCCTTTTCCTGTAGCTCCGTGTTTTCCGTGGGATTTTGGAATTCCATCTGAGAGGTTCCTCAGAACACTGGGGGCATTTTTGGGAATTGCTGAGCGGGACATGGAGCTCGTCCGGAGTTCCTCAGGAAGTTCAAGAATTCGGGAATTTTCATTTTTCCCCAGCTCCAGCCCATCCGGCGTTTCAACAATTCCATCCCAGAGGTTTTTCCAGCTCTCCCTGGGCTGGAATTCCCAGAGAAGCTGTGGCTGCCTCTGGATCCCTGGAATGTCCAAGGCCAGCTTGGAGCAGCCTGGGACAGTGGAAGGTTCCTATGGAATGGGATGAGCTTTAAGGTCCTTCCCACCAAACCATTCCACGATTCCATGATCCCACCGGCTGCGTGATGCAAACTCCCGGATGGACTTTGGGAATTCCCACTGCTCCCGTTCCGTGGTGGGGCTGATCCCAATCCCAAAATCCTGGGCACAAGGACAACACCCATCCCCATCTTTCCATTGCTTTCATTTTTTGAGGCTTTTCCTTCATTTCTCACCGATCCCGCAGTGATTTTTCCCGGCTTTAATCCGCGCGCTCCGGTCGGATCCATCCATCCGGTGGACAGCGGAGGAGAAATTCCAATACCAAAGGTAGCAGAGGGGAATTTTTTCCAAGTCCATGGAAACGCAACGGACACAAACCCACCCCAAACCTGGGATCCCTTCCCAAAAATCTGCTCCGTCCTCCCCCCGGCGCGTTCCTTCCATCGTTTTCCCAGCTGGAAAACCCGGAGAGCTCCTTGGGTGCTGCTCCAGGATGGTTTTGGTGCCTTACAGAGGCCGGAATTCCTCTTGGTTGGGTTTTTTGGGAATTGGTGCCACCGGTGGGGTTGGAGCGCGGCAGATTTTCCCGCTCCGGAAGCGCGGGATGGGCGTTCCAAGGTTGTCCCTCCTGTCCCACAGCTTCTCCTTCCGTCACCTTCTGGTGGCCTTAGGCAGGTGGAGCTTCCAGGAATCCCCAGAGGCCGTAAATCCATGGAGAATCCATGGGGATATTCCTGATATTCCTTAAATTCCTTAAATTATGTTGGAAGAGGATCCTTGACCATGCCAGCAGCGCCCAAAACTTCGTGGAATTCATTCCAATTTGGGATTTTTTGGTTCATTTTTCCATCTTCAAGCTCCCAAGATCAGCTTCGATCCCAGATTTTCCTCTGGAGATCCATTGGCCCTTCCCATGGGATCCTTTCTCCATGGACACCGCTGGAAGTTTGGGGTGGAGCATTCCAAGGTTGTCCTTCCATCACCAGAGGCTGTAAATCCATGGGGAATTCCTGGTATTCCTTAAATTCCATTTGTGCACTGGAAGAGGGCCCTTGGCCGTGGAGCCGATCCCCGAAACTTCTTGGAATTCATTCCGGTTTAGGATTTCTTTGTTCATTTTTCCATCTTCAAACTCCCAGAGATCTTTGGGACCAGGATCAGCTTCCATCCCAGATTTTCACCCGCAGATCCATTGGCTCTTCCCGTGGGATCCCCTCTCCGTGGCTCCCCCACCCCAACAACACAAGCACAACCCTCCCTGGGATCCGGAATTCCCTGGGATCCGGAATTCCCTGGGATCTGGCATTCCCTGGGATCCGGCATTCCCTGGGATCTGGCATTCCCTGGGATCCGGAATTCCCTGGGATCCCGGCGTTCCCTGGGATCCGGAATTCCCTGGGATCCCGCATTCCCTGGGATCCGGCATTCCCTGGGATCCCGCATTCCCTGGAATCCGCTCATTCCCGTTCTCCTCCTCCCCGGGCGTGGCTTGGCTGGGATTTCGTTGGATTTTCCGGGATTTTCCCGAGGATCCCGATGGAAAATATGCAATAATTTGTTTACAGGATGCTCCGGGCAGGGCGCTCCTTTAAGCACAATGTGCACAGGATAGTTTTGTATTCCGCCCCTCCGGAATTTTTTGGCGGGAAGAGGTTCTCCTACGTTTCTATGGGACATTGGGAATGCTTGGAAAGCTTTCTAAGAGTGGGAAATAAATTTTTTTATCTTAAGGAAAAAAACCTTGGGATGTCTCCGTTATTTGGGGATTTTCCAAGTATTTTATTTTCCAAATGTTTTCCAAGTTTGGTTTTTTTTTCCTGTGGTGGCTTTGAGGTGTCGTGGTTTTAAGGAGGTTTTTTCCTGGAAAAATGAGGATTTTTCCCGTTAATCAGGGGTTTGGTGGTTGATTCCTGCTGGGAATTATTCCTGGTAAATCCAGCTCCTTTGGAGGTTTTTTGGGATTCCTTAAACGAGGATTTTAATGGAGCGGTCACTGAAAATATCCGAGGTGTTGGGAATGGGGAAATGCAGCTCCAGGGAATCCCAGAGCCCCTTCCAGGAATCCAGGGAGAGCTGGAGAGGGATTGGGATCAGGGATGGAAAAGTGGAGATTTGGATGGATCCTGGGAAGGAATTCCCGGCTGGGCTGGAATTCCCAGAGAAGCTGTGGCTGCCTCTGGATCCTGGGAATGTCCATAGGGAAAGGTGTCCCTGCTCATCCCGCCCAAAATATTCCGGGATTTTCCCGAGTGCTTCCCATTCCTCGGGACACTGGGATTGAAAAGAGCTTTGGAGCATCCCTGAAGGTGGGAATGGAATTCCAGAGCCCTGGGAGGGCGTATCCAGGGAAAAAACAGGGAAAAGCCCTGTCCCAGTGCCAGCAGGACGGGGTTAATTCCCAGGAATTCCCAGGATTTTCCTGTGGGATAGAGCTGGGAATCCACCAGCCCTGCCCAGCTCCGCTTCTCCCAATTCCTGACTAACTAAGGGATAATAATAATAATAATAATACCAATAATAATAACAACAATAATAACAATAACAATAACAATACTATTAACAACAACAACAACAACAATGATAATGATAATAATAATAATAATAATAATAATAATAATAATAAACAACCAAGCCCGCTCCCCCCTCCCCATCCCACTCTCTGAAATTGGGGAAAGCCGTTCCCAGCGGAACACTGTGGGAAAAGCAGCGGATTTTTGGGAAGCAGAACGGGAAACTCTCCGGGCTGGGATTTGTGGGAATAATCTGGGAATGAGCAGCCGCGGCAGGGCTGGAATTCTCGGGAGGAGCTCCGGGAGTTTTCCAGAGGCGCGGATGCGCGGCTGGGCTGGAATTTTGATATTTTTTCCTGCTTTTTTTTCCACTTCCTCGCCGCTGGATCCGATCCCGGCCGCGTTTGGCCGCGCTGATTTCCGGGTTGATCTGGGAACTTTTTATTTATTTTTTTTTTCCTTGGACGAGCCAGGGTTCATTCCCTCCCTTCCTCCCAAAACCTGGGAATTGCCGGCTCTGGGATCATCGCTGTGGGCGTTTCCCGGTGGGATCGTGCCTCTGGAAAAGCCGAGCCCGCAGTTCCATGTGGGCAGAGTTTGTTCCCGGCTGAGAAATCCCGGGATTTGGAGGCAGCGCTGGAAAACGCCGCATCCAGCGGCGCAGTAAGTCCCGGCTTTTCCCCCTCTCCGCATTCCCGGTTTTTCCCGCTGATCCCGAGGCTCGGCTCCCAGAAGGTCGGGATTAAGGGAATGGGAATGGGAATGGGAATGGGAATGGGAATGGAAGTGCCGGAGCAGCGGGAGCATTCCCGGCCCTCCCGCCGCTCCCGGCGCGGGGGGATCGGGAATTCCCGGGAAGTTTCCCTCGGGAGCGGGATGGGGTCTGGGATACCCCAATCCCGGGGGAAACTCGGGTGGGAGCGGCGAGTTTCTGGCGTGGAAAAGCTGCGGATCCCGGCGGATCCCGGCGAATTCCAGCGGCAACAACAACAACAACAACTCCCACAAAGCCGCCCTTGTCCCGCCGGGAGCGCTCCCGGAGTTTTCCAGAGCCGCTCCCGGAGTTTTTTCCAGCGCCGCTCCCGGAGTTTTCCAGCGCCGCTCCCGGAGTTTTTTCCAGAGCCGCTCCCGGAGTTTTTTCCAGCGCCGCTCCCGCTCTCCCGGTGCCGCTGGAAACGCGTCCAGGGCTGCTCGGGAATTCCCGAATGTTCCCGGCCCCTGGAAAAGCGCCGCTGGAGCTGGCACGGAGCGAGGGATGTGCCAGGGAGAGCCGTGCCAGGGGGTGGGACATTCCATAGGGAAAGGGCATTCCATAGGGAAGGGAATTCCATAGGGAAGGGAAGGGAAGGGAAGGGAAGGGAAGGGAAGGGAAGGGAAGGGAAGGGAAGGGAAGGGAAGGAAAGGAAAGGAAAGGAAAGGAAAGGAAAGGAAAGGAAAGGAAAGGAAAGGAAAGGAAAGGAAAGGAAAGGAAAGGAAAGGAAAGGAAAGGAAAGGAAAGGAAAGGAAAGGAAAGGAAAGGAAAGGAAAGGAAAGGAAAGGAAAGGAAAGGAAAGGAAAGGAAAAAGGAAAGGTGCCATGGGATCTGTGCCATGGGCAGAGGACGGTGACAAGGTGACAGGGCCGAGCTCCTGGCACCAGGACAGGGGACAGGTGGGGACAGGAGGAGGAGGAGGAGGAGGAGGAGGCAGGCCCGGCCCGGCCCCGCTGACTCAGTGCCCTCACTGCGCTCCCAAACCACAAATTCCTGCCTGAGGCCCGGCCTGGAGCCTCCTCCTGCTTCCCACTGGGAACAGGGAATGGGAACGGGGAAAAGGGAATGGGGAATAGGGACAGGGAATAGGGGCAGGGACAGGGAACTGCGAATGGGGAACAGGGAATGGGGAACAGGGAATGAGGAATAGGGAAAAAGGAACACGGAATTGGGAACAGGGAAAAGGGAATGGGGAATAGGGAATAGGAATAGAGACAGGGAATAGGGAGCAGGGACAGGGAACTGGGAATGGGGAACAGGGAACAGGGACAGGGAACTGGGAATGGGGAACAGGGAACTGGGAACTGGGAATGGGGAACAGGGAATGGGGAATGGGGAATAGGGACAGGGAATAGGGAAAAAGGAACAGGGAATTGGGAATAGGAATAGGGACAGGAAATAGGGAGCAGGGACAGGGAACTGGGAATCGGGAATTGGGAATTGGGAACTGGGAATGGGGAACAGGGAATGGGGAACAGGGAACGAGGAATAGGGAAAAAAGAACAGGGAATTGGGAACAGGGAAAAAAGAACAGGGAACTGGGAACAGGGAACAAGGAACAGGGAATTTGGAACAGGGAATAGGGAACAAGGAACAGGGAATTTGGAACAGGGAAGGGATCCCTGCCCTGGGAATGGCTGGGCTGGGATGGATCCAGGTGCTCCCAGCTCAGGGATCCCATCCAGGGGCTCTGTGCACAGGGGGATCCTGCACCTGGGAGGAGCCTCTGGAAAAGCCCAAGCCTCTGGAAGGGCTCATCCCTTCTCCCTCTGAGAATCCCAGAATTCCAGGTCAGAAGGACCCTTAAATTCCCCATTCCCCATTCCCCATTCCCCATTCCCCATTCCCCATTCCCCATTCCCCATTCCCCATTCCCAACTCCTGATTCCCGTCTAATCTTTAACCGGAGGCGTTTCCAGTTGGGTTTTGTTGGTTCGTTGCTCTCCTGCCTCATTAATTTTTCCCTCCCTCTCCGGCCGTTCCCGGCGTTCCGGGGTTTTTCCTGGAGCTGCCTCACACCGGAGCTGGCAGAGGTAGGGCTGGGATGGGAGTGAATCCAGGGAATTCCAGGGGCTGGCAGAGGGGTTCTTTGGGAATGAATCCAGGGAATTCCAGGGGCTGGGAGAGGGGTTCTTTGGGAATGAATCCAGGGAATTCCAGGGGCTGGCAGAGGGGTTCTTTGGGAATGTCCCTGTGGCACACCCAAGGGTTGGATCCCGCCGGGAATTTGGGATGGCTGGAGCAGCTGCAGAGCTCCGGAATGCTCTGGAATCCCTCTGGATCCCTCAGGATCCCGGGAATCCAGAACCTTGGATCCCCCTGGATCCAGGAGCTCCCTTCCCGCTTTTCCTTTGTGGATTGTGGATTTTTCCTTTGATTTCCCAGAGCAGGAGCGGCGCTGCCAAGGTCAGGATCGGGTAAGAGCTGGAGCCGGGATATTCCATGGGAATGGGAAAGGGGATCCAGCCGGGATATTCCATGGGAGTGGGAAAGGGGATCCAGCCGGGATATTCCATGGGAGCGGGAAAGGGGATCCAGCCGGGATATTCCATGGGAATGGGAAAGGGGATCCAGCCGGGATATTCCATGGGAATGGGAAAGGGGATCCAGCCGGGATATTCCATGGGAGAGGGAAAGGGGATCCAGCCGGGATATTCCATGGGAATGGGAAAAGGGATCCAGCCGGGATATTCCATGGGAGTGGGAAAGGGGATCCAGACGGGATATTCCATGGGAATGGGAAAGGGGATCCAGCAGGGATATTCCATGGGAATGGGGATCCAGCCGGGATATTCCATGGGAATGGGAAAGGGGATCCAGCCGGGGTATTCCATGGGAATGGGAAAGGGGATCCAGCCAGGATCCCGTGTCCCACCCGCTTCCCGAGGGACCTTCCTGCATCCAGGGATCCCGAGGTGATCCCACATCCCTCTGGATCTGTTGGAATTCCCGTCCCTCCAGGAAGTGGGATTGGCCTTCTCCTGCTGCTCCCTTGGGATCCCAGCACCCCTCAGGGGATGGGCGCTCCCCATCCCGCTGGGATGCAATTCCATTTGGGATTTGGGATTTGGGATTTGGGATGGGACCCCGTGCCGCATCCCGGGAATTCTGATCCCCCCCAGGCCGTCCTGATCCTGGGCACCATTCCCGCGGGATGCAGCCGGCTTTGAGGCTCTGAGGCGCCATCCCGAGGGAAGCGGAGCTGGAGATTCCCGGGATCCGGAGCGGCCATGCCGAGCGCCGGGGCCCGGCTGCTCCGCGCCCACCAGGTGCCCGAGGTCAGCGGGATTCCATCCCTGATCCCGGGGATCAGCGGGATTTGGGGTCTAGCACATGGGAACAGTGGCAGGAATTCCGTGTCCCGACTCCGGAATTCTGGGGATGCTCCTTATCCATCCCCATGTCCCATTTCCATCCCCATCCCCATTTCCCATTTCCATCCCCATTCCCATTCCCATCCCTATCCCCATTTCCCATTTCCCATTTCCCATTTCCCATCTGTATTCCCATTCCTGTTCCCATCTCCATTCCTGTTCCTGTTCCCATTATTTCCATTCCCATGATTCCCATTCCCATTATTATCATTGCCATGATTCCCATCCCCATTCCCATGATTCCCATTCCCGTTATTCTCATTCCTGTGATTCCCATCCCCATTCCCGTGATTCCCATTCCCACAATTCCCATCACCATGATTCCCATCTCTGTTCCTGTTATTCCCATTCCCATGATTCCCATTCCCATTCCCATTATTCTCATTCCCATTATTCCCGTCCCCATTCCCATGATTCCCATTCCCATTATTCTCATTCCCGTGATTCCCATCCCCATTCCCATGATTCCCATTCCCGTTCCTGTGATTCCCATTCCTGTGATTCCCATCCCCACGATTCCCGTTCCCATTCCCGTGATTCCCATTCCCATTATCCCCGTTCCCATTCCCTGATTCCTGTCCCCACGATTCCCGTTCCCATTCCCTGATTCCCGTCCCCATTATCCCCGTTCCCATTCCCGTGATTCCCATTCCCACGGTTCCCGTTCCCAGAGTTACCGGGAGCCGGGAATTCTCTCCGGGTACCGCCCGCCCCGGAGCTCAGCCCGCGAGTGCCTGCGCAGCCTCTTCGGGATGAACAACGAGACCCTCAACGTCTGGACACACCTGCTGCCCGCCGGGTGAGGGCCCGCGGCACAGCTGGGCACACCTGGGCACAGCTGGGAACACCTGGGCACACACCTGAATACCCCTGGGCACACCTGGTCACACCTGGTCACCCCTGGGCACACCTGGGCACACACCTGAACACACTTGGGAAACCCTGGGCACACCTGGGCACACCCCTGGTCACACCTGGGCACACCTGAACACACCTGGGAAACCCTGGGCACACCTGGGCATACCTGAACACACCTGTACATACCTGGGCACACCTGAACACCCCTGGGCACACTAGGTCACACCCGGGCACACACCTGGGCATACCTGAACATACCTGGGCGCACACCTGGGCACACTGGGTCACACCTGGGCACACCTGGGCACACCTGGGCACACCTGGGCTTCTCTGGGCACACCTGCACACAGCTGGACACGCCTGGGGGTGCCCTCAAGACACCCCATGGCACACACCTGGGCACACACCTGGGCACACCTGGGCTCCCCTGAATACATCTGGGTACACACCTGAGCAGACCTGGGCACCCCTGGGCACACCTGAACACTCCTGGGCACACCTGGGCACACACCTGGGCACACTTGGGCACAACTGGTCACACCTGGTCACACCTGGGCACACCTGGGCACACCTCAACACTCCTGGGCACACACCTGGGCACACCTGAACACCCCTGGTCACACCTGGTCATACCTGGTCACACCTGGGCTCCCTTGAACACACCTGGGCTCCCCTGGGCACACCGCTGGGCACACCTGGGCACACACCTGGGCTCCCTTGAACACACCTGAACACACCTGAACACCCCTGGGCACACCTGAACACACCTGAACACACCTGGGCACACACCTGGGCACACACCTGGGCATACCTGAACACACACCAGGTCACACCTGGGCACACTGGGTCTCCGGCAGGTACCTGCTGTGGCTGCTGGTGGTGCGGCTGCGGGAGCCGGGGGCATCACCGGGGACATCACCGGGGCCATCGGGGACATTGGACACATCGTCGGGGCCGTTCCTGGCGTACCTGGGCACGTGCGCCCTGTACCCGCTGGCCTCGAGCGCGGCGCACGCGCTGGGCGCCATGGGCGGGCACGGCCGGCACCGCGCCTTCTGCTGCGACTACGCCGCGCTCAGCCTCTACGGCCTGGGTCTGTGCGGGGTACAGGGTACAGGGGGTTTGTGGGGTTTGGGGGTGCCAGGGGGTCTGTGGGGTTTGGGGATTATGGGGTTATAGGGGATTTGTGGGGTTTGGGAATGCCAGGGGAGTTTGTGGGGTTTGGAGATTATAGGAGTCTGTGGGGTTTGGGAATGCCAGGGGGGTTTGTGGGGTTTAGGGATGCCAGGGGTATTTGTGGGGTTTTGGGAATGCCAGGGGGGTTTGTGGTGGTTTGGGAATGCCAGGGGGGTTTGTGGGGTTTAGGGATGCCAGGGGTATTTGTGGGGTTTTGGGAATGCCAGGGGGGTTTGTGGTGGTTTGGGAATGCCAGGGGGGTTTGTGGGGTTTGGAAATGCCAGGGGGTTTGTGGGGTTTGGGCGTGCCAGGGGGGTTTGGGGATTATGGGGGGTTTGTGGGGTTTTGGGAATGCCAGGGGGGTTTGGGGATTATGGGGGGTTTGTGGGGTTTAGGGGTGCCAGGGGGGTCTCTGGGGTTTGGGAATGCCAGGGGGGTTTGTGGGGTTTGGGCGTGCCAGGGGGGTTGGGGATTGCAGGGGTTTGTGGGGTTTGTGGGATTATGGGGGTCTGTGGGGTTTGGGAGTTCAGGGCTGTCTGTGGGGTTTGGGAGTTCAGGGGGGTCTGTGGGGTTTTTGGGGTTCTGGGGAGTTTGGGGATTATGGGGGGTTTGTGGGGTTTGGGAATGCCAGGGGAATCTGTGGGGTTCCTGGGGTTATAGGGCATTTGTCGGGTTTAGGGATGCCAGGGGTGTTTGTGGGGTTTGGGAATGCTGGGGGAATCTGTGGGGTTTTGGGATGCCAGGGGGGTCTATGGGGTTTGGGAATGCCAGGGGGATTTGGGGATTCCAGGGGTTTGTGGGGTTTGTGGGATTATAGGGATTTGTGGGGTTTGGGGATGCCAGGGGGTCTGTGGGGTTTTTGGGGTTCTGGGCGGGTTTGGGGGTTCTGGGGGGGATCTGTGGGGTTTGGAGATTATGAGGGATTGATGGGATTTGGGAATGCCAGGGGGTCTGTGGGGTTTGGGAGTTCAGGGGGGATCTGTGGGGTTTGGAGATCATGAGGGATTGATGGGATTTGGGAATGGCAGGGGAATTCCGGGGAATTGCAGGGAATTCCAGGATCGGGAGCTGACAGCCCCGCTGTGCCTCAGGCTCGGCGCTGGCCTATTCCGCCTACGCCTTCCCGCTGGAATGGGTCGGGAGCACATTCCATGAGTTCTACGTTCCCGTGGCCGTGCTCAACTCCGCGCTCAGCACCGGCCTGGCCTGCTATTCCAGGTGGGATCCAGCGGGAATTCGGGATCGGGGCTCTGCTCCCGCCTTGGGCCACTGGGAGGTGGGGAAGGGGAAAGAGGGAATTTTTCCCTTGGGAAATGGGGAGGATTCCATGAGGAAAATGCGGAATAACGGGAGGAGTTTCAGTTTTTGGGAAGTTCCAAAGGGGATTTGTGGAATCCTGGAATGGTTTGGGTTGGGAGGGGACTTGGAGATGATTCAGGTCTGCTATCCCAGATTCCCGGGGAAGCTGTGGAATTCCCTGTGTGTCCCATGTGGAATTCCCGGTGTATCCCATGTGGAATTCCCTGTGTATCCCATGTGGAATTCCCGGTGTTTCCCATGTGGAATTCCCTGTATATCCCATGTGGAATTCCTGGTGTATCCCATGTGGAATTCCCTGTGTATCCCATGTGGAATTCCCTGTGTGTCCCATGTAGAATTCCTGGTGTTTCCCTGTATATCCCATGTGGAATTCCTGGTGTATCCCATGTGGAATTCCCGGTGTTTCCCGGTGTATCCCACGTGGAATTCCCGGTGTTTCCCAGGTTTCTGGAGGCGGAGCGGCCCAGCCTGAGCAAGGCTTTCCGAACTCTGGCCTTCGTCTATCCCTACCTTTTCGACAGCATCCCAGTTTTCTACAGGGTGCGTATCCCACAAAATCCGGGAGGTTTCGGCTGCCTCAGCCTGGAATTCCTTGGGAAAGCAGCCCCAGTTGGGGTTTGAAAGGCAAAAACTCCGGCAGGAAAAGGCTCCGGGATATTTTTTCCGGCAGATTCCTCCCGCTTCAAAGGGCTGGAAAATTCCTGCCTTGGGAAGCGGGGAGGGGCCTTTTCCAGGGATTCAGCTGGAGCAGGGCAGGAATTTGGGGAGGCGGGAGTGGAGGTGATGGCTGCGGAGAGCTGGGAATGGCTCCTTGGGATGGATGGATGGATCCATGGATAGGATGGGATGGGATGGGATGGGATGGATCCATGGATCCATGGATGGGTGGATTCATGGATGGATTCATGGATGGATTCATGGATGGATGGATTAAAGGATTCATGGATGCATTGATGGATGGAGGGATTCGATGGGATGGGATGGGATGGGATGGGATGGATGGAAGGATTCACAGATGGATGGATGGATTCATGGATGGATTAATGGATAGAGGGATGGGTTCATGGATGGATGGATGGATGATGGATGATGGATGGATGGATGGATGATGGATGGATGGATGGATGGATGGATGGATGGATGATGGATGGATGGATGGATGGATGGATGGATGGATGGATGATGGATGGATGATGGATGGATGGATGGATGGATGGATGGATGGATGGATGGATGATGGATGGATGGATGATGGATGGATGGATGATGGATGGATGGATGGATGGATGGATGGATGGATGATGGATGGATGGATGATGGATGGATGGATGATGGATGGATGGATGCACTGATGGATGGATGGATGATGGACAGACTGAAGGATCCATGGATGCACCGATGGATGGATCAGTCCCGTTTTTGCCGGCAGCTGTTCCGGAGCGCGGCCGGGAGCTGCTCCGAAGGGTCGCTCCCGCTGCATTCCCGGCACAGCCTCTGCGCCCTCCTGACCTTCCTGAGCTTCACCTCCCGCCTGCCCGAGCGCCTGGCGCCGGGGAGCTTCGACTTCATCGGTGAGCGCGGCTGGGAATGCCAGGAATGAACCCTGGGAATGCCGGGAATGAACCCCGGGAGTGCCGGGAATGAACCCCGGGAATGCTGGGAATGAACCCTGGGAATGCCGGGAATGAACCCCGGGAATGCTGGGAATGAACCCCGGGAATGAACCCAGGGAATGAACCCCGGGAATGCCGGGAATGAACCCCGGGAGTGCTGGGAATGAACCCCGGGAATGCCGGGAATGAACCCCGGGAATGCCGGGAATGAACCCTGGGAGTGCCAGGAATGAACCCCAGGGAATGTAGGGAATGAATCCAGGGAATAAACCCCGGGAATCCCAGGAATGTACCCCAGGGAATGCAGGGAATGAACCCCAGCAGATCCAGTGAATGAAGCCCAGGAAATCCAGGGAATGAACCCCAGGGAATGCAGGGAACAAACCCAGGGAATGCTGGGCATGAACCCCAGGGAATCCACGGAATGAACCCAGGGAATGCCGGGAATAAACCCCATGGGATCCCAGGAATGAACCCCTCGGAGCCAGAGGCATTGGGAACAGGAAGCACGAGGATAAAACCCTGGGAATTGGGAGTAGGAATTCGTAGGATGATAAAATCCCAGGAATCAGGAATTTGTGGGATAAATATTCCATGGATGCCAGGTGAAGTGGGCTGAGTGGGAATCAGTCCTGGAATCCTGGAATTCCAGGATGTTTGGATGGGCAGGGACACCTCCCACAATCCCAGAGCGCTCCAAGCCCCCGGAGCTTTCTGGGAACGTGGAACCCACCTGGCCCAGCTGAACACCCATGGAATTTCCATGGAATTTCCATGGAATTCCCGGAGTTTTCCGTCGCAGGGCACAGCCACCAGGTTTTCCACATCTGCGGGATCCTGGGAACGCTTTTCCAGCTGGAAGCCGTCTCCGTGGACATGGCGGAGCGGCGTGGCCGCCTCCCACTTCCCTCTTCCCTGGAAACCTTCGGATCCCTGGGAATGGGAGCGGCCGCCAGCCTGGCCATCCTCGGGGTCTGCTTCCGCAGCCTCCGCCCCGAGCCTCCTTCCCGGGAAAAATCCCACTAGAACCCGGGATTGCCTCGGATTTCTGGGAGCAGTCCCGTTCCAGAGGTGTCCACGGGGGAATTGGATCGCCTGGAAATGTTTCTTTGGGAATTTCCCAACTGTGCCGGTTTTATCCACGGATGGGCTGGGAAACGCTTCCCATCCGGCTGTTATCCACAGGGAAAGCGTCAAATCATCGGGATTTGATCCCTGAAAAGGGAGGGAAGCACTCCTGCTTCCCAAAGATTCCAGGATCCCTCAGGTCTGCCCTGGGGAGAAATCCAGGGAATGTTGGCATCGCCAGCTGGCAGATTCCTGGTGAAGCCAAGAACTCCCTAATTCCTGTTTTCCCCTGGGATGTGGCATTCCTTTGGAATTCCAAGCCTTAGCTCAGCCCAAGTGCCTGGAAAGGTGGGGTGGAGGGACTGGAGTTTCCCTCCCGTTTTGATTCCCACTGTTTTCCCTCTTTTATCCGGGAAAAGGGATTCCAGGAGAGCTCCAATGGGATCTTCCTGCAGGAAATCTCTTCCAGGGTCTCATTCCTGGAAATCCTGAGAAGTTCATTGCCATGGGAATTCTGAATTTCCACGGAGCGGGGATGGAATGAAGGAATTCCATCCTGTCCTGGCTATTCCCAGGATGGATCCCAGGACTGGGAGTGGGAGACAGGAGAGCTCCATGCCCCAACCCCCCAGGATTTGGGATCCTTTAGGAAAAGATTTGGAATGTTTTGGGATTGGGATATGCCAGGAGAAAAGCAGGATTTGGGACAGCTCAAGGTTTAAAAGCGCCTTGGAATTTTAAAGAATTCCCAGGAGTTTCCCTCTGTTGTCCCTTGTTTTCCTTCCCTGCTGCCCCTGGATTTTGCAGGAAGAGCCTGGAGCTCCAGGCTTTTCCAGGATCCAGGTTTTCCTCTTGGATTTCCCTGCAGGAACACAGCACACACTTCATTCTTTGGGAATATTTTCCTGGATAATCTCACGGGTCTTCCATAAATTTCCTTTAATTGCCTTTGCCGAGGTCTGACTGCTGCACTTTGGGAGCTGCTGGAATTTGGGATTTCACAATAAAATCTGGGATGAACGGGTTAAACAGGGAATAAATCAATCCTTGGGAACGCTGACCGAGATTTTCGGGATATTTATAAGCACTGGAATTGTTTTTCCAACGGTTTAATTAAATTAATATAAATCACTGATTTTAATCTTCTTGATAATAAAAATATTCCTGGGAAAACAAATTCCTTTGGAGATCGCTGCTGATAATTCCAGAGTTTATTTACTTTGGGAGCTGCTGTGACCAGGGAGGAATCCGGCTGAGATTGGAGAGCCCGCAGGAAAAACATCGGGAATCATCCCAGAATTTATTCCAGGTGGTTCAACTTTTGACCTGAAATCCTCCCGTCCTCTCCAGTGCCGGGAATTTTGGGAAAGCTGCATTCCAGAGGGGAGGGAATGCCAGAATTCCATGGGATCCTCTGGCTGAACCCATGGAATGGCTGGTGCTGGATCTTGGAGCAGCACAGGGAGAGGATTTTTCCTGCTTTTTACCAAAAATCTCTGGATTTTCCTCAATCTCCTTCCCAGGAGAAATGAAAGCTCCGTGCCCAGTTGTTCCAAGGAAATAAACTGGGATATTTATTTGTGGAATGTTGATCCACACCAAATGCCAAAGGAATTTGGGATGAAATTCCAGCAAACCTCCCTCATCCCTCCTAAGCCACGTGGATTTGGAAAAGCTGGAAAAAAGCAGGAATTTCAGACTCCTCCAGGTGTTTTTATTACTTTTTTTTTTTTTTTTAATATCTTGTGGAAACATTCAGGAATTTGTACTAAAAATGAGAATTCCCTGGAATTTAAAAGGAATTGCATCCTCTCCCCAGTTCCCCATTGGAATCCATTCCCTGGGCAGGAAGTTTGCTTTTCCCTGGACTTGTTCTGCCCGATTTTTCACACATGTCCTACATTTCCACGGTTATTTTCCACCACGGATCATTTCCCACAGGTTGGGAATTAACTCATTTCCATCGGGTTGGGAATTAACTCGTTTCCTTCAGGTTGGGAATTACGTCCAACAGGTTGGGAATTAACTCATTTCCAACAGTCTGGGGTTTAGCTCATTTCCATCAGGTTGGAAATTAACTCATTTTCCACGTGTTGGGAATTAACCCGTTTCAACAGTTTGGGAATTATTTCCAACAGGCCGGGAATTCACTTTTTTTCTGCAGATTGGGAATTTGCTCGTTCCCGTTGGGATAGGAATTAACTGAGTGACTGAATCACCTCCAGGAAGGCACACAGGGAAGAACTGGCCCTTAAAACGGTCTGAATTCCACAGTTTTTCCTGAAATATTGGAATTAAACCGATAAAAAGGGGGAAAAAACCGCGGAAAAAGCGGGATCGGCCGGGAGCGGGATTCGAACCCGCGTTCCCCACCAGCAGGGGGCGTCGCCATGGTGACGGCGCCGTGCGTGGTGACGTCAGCGGGGCCGCGCGCGCTGATTGGCCGGATTTGAATCGCGGCGGGCGCGCGCGCGGCCGGTGCCGTCAGCCCCGGGCCCTGTCGCGACAGCAGCGAGAGGCCGCGACATGAAGGCGGCGTGAGTGGCGCGGCAGCCCCGGGCGGGGACGGGCGGGCTGGGGAAGGGGGGCTCGGGGCTGTCCTGCGTGGCTGCCCGCAGCTCCCGGTGCGCCGGGCGCTGCCGTTGCTCCTGCAGCTCCCGGTGCTCCCGGTGCCCGCCGGTGCTGCCGGTGATCCTGGTGCTCCCGCAGCTCCCGGTGCCCTCCGGTGCTCTCGGTGCTCCCGCAGCACCCGGTGCCCTCTGGTGCTGCCGGTGATCCCGGTGCTCCCGGTGCCCTCCGGTGCTCTCGGTGCTGCCGGTGATCCGGGTGCTTCCGCAGCTCCCGGTGCTCCTTCAGCTCTCCGGTGCTGCCGGTGCTCTCGGTGCCCTCCGGTGCTCTCGGTGCTCCCGCAACCCCCGGTGCCCTCCGGTGCTCCCGGTGCTCCCGCAGCTCCCGGTGCCTTCCGGTGCTCTCGGTGCTGCCGGTGATCCCGGTGTTTCTGCAGCTCCCGCAGCCCCCGGTGCCCTCCGGTGATCCCGGTGCTCCCGCAGCTCCCGGTGCTGCCGGTGCCCTCCGGTGTCTCCGCCCCGCCGTTCCCGGTGTCCCCTGACGCTCTCTCTCTCCCCTCGCAGGGCCAGGACGCCGCGGAGGCCGCGGAAAGCCACGAACCCCACGCAGAAGGACCCGGTGGGGGTGAGTGAGCGCCGGGATGGTCCCGAGATCCCGATCCCCGCACCCACAAATTCCCGGTTTTAATGCCGGGATGGCCCGACATCCCAATTCCTGCACCCACAAATTCCCGGTTTTAATGCCGGGATCGTCCCGAGATCCCGATTCCCACACCCAGAAATTCCCGGTTTTAATCCAGGCTTCATTCCCAGGTGTACTGCCGGATTGATTCCCAGTTCATTCCCAGTTCATTCCCAGTTCATTCCCGGTTTTATTCCCGTTTTCCCAGGTGTACAGCCGGGTTGATTCCCGGTTGATTCCCAGTTCATTCCCGGTTTATTCCCGCTCTTCCAGGTGCACAGCCGGGTTGATTCCCGGTAATTCCCGTTTTTCCCTGTTCTCCCACGTGTACAGCCGGGTTGATTCCCGGTTTATTCCCGTTTTCCCAGGTGTACTCCCGGGTTGATTCCCGGTTGATTCCCAGTTCATTCCTAGTTTATTCCCATTTTCCCAGGTGTACTGCCGGATTCATTCCCGGTTCATTCCCGGTTTATTCCCGTTTTCCCAGGTGTACAGCTGGGTTGATTCCCGTTTTTCCCCGTTTTCCCAGGTGTACTGCCGGGTTGATTCCCGGTTGATTCCCGGTTCATTCCCGGTTGATTCACGGTTTATTCCCATTTTCCCAGGTGTACAACCGGGTCGATTCCCAGTTTATTCCCATTTTTCCCCGTTTTCCCAGGTGTACAGCCGGGTGGATTCCCAGTTCATTCCCGGTTTATTCCCGTTTTCCCAGGTGTACAGCCGGGTTGGTTCCCGGTTGATTCCCAGTTCATTCCCGGTTTATTCCCAGTTCATTCCCGGTAATTCCCGGTTTATTCCCGTTTTCCCAGGTGTACTGCCGCGTGCGGCCGCTCAGCCGGGCCGACCAGGAATGCTGCATCGAGGTCATCAGCGGCACCGCGGTGCAGATCCACCCTCCCGAGGGCTACCGGATCTTCCGGAACGGCGAGTACCGAGAGGTAGCGGCATTCCCGCCGGGAATCCCCCTGGAATTCCCGCCCCGCCTCTGGAAGTGGCCTCGGAGCAGCCTGGCTTAGCGGGAGCTGTCCCTGCCCTTGGCAGTGGGGTTGGATTTAAGGTCCCTTCCCACCCAAAGTTCTGGAATTCCATGAATTCCATCCAGCTCCTCCTCTCCCAAGTTTTCCCATGATTTGTGGCGCACTTGCAGAGTGCAAAATCCCGAGGTTTTCCACCCCAAAAATCCATCTGGGACAAAAAAACATCACTTCCTGATCCGTCAAATCCATGGGAAGGACCTTAAAGCTCATGGCATTCCATGGGAATCCATCATCCCAGACTGCTCCAACCTGGCCTTGGACATCCCAGGGAAAAGGAATCCACAGCTTCTCCCAGTGGGAATCTTAGATGGGATGTGGAATAATTTGTTTGCAATTTCAGCTGGAAAATTCCTGTGGGAAGGGCATTAAGGGGTTTTCAAAGGTTTAAATAAAACAGGCAAAGCTTAATTAATGGAATGTTAATTTAATTAAGCAAGGTTTTGTTCAGAAATTTGGAATTCAGGTATTGCCCTAAGGAAGAGTTTTGGTAGAAAGACAACCATCAAAAATTAAAATATGTTTTAAAATTTATTAAAATAATCCATTAGCAAATAAAACCAGCTTGAAATTTAGGGCTATTAAAATTAATTTTAAAAATTAATTAAAATAATTCACTAAAAAAAAAATAAAACCAGCTTGAAATAAACAAAATTCCATGAGGGAACAGCTTCACTTTGGCCATGGTGGATATTCCTTTGCTTGGATTCTGGGGGGAACTGAAAGGAAATTCCAGTTTTTGCTGTGCTTTGGGAATTCTCCGCTCCATGGGCCACTCCAGGCCGTGGAGCTGGAATTCCAGGCTGGTTTTCCCTGTTTTGGCAGACCCAGTATTCCTTCAAGGAGGTGTTTGGCACGCTGGTGGCGCAGAAGGAGCTCTTTGACGTGGTGGCCAAACCTCTGGTGGAGGATCTGATCCGGGGCAAGAACGGTGAGCAGAGCTCTTCCCATGTCCCCATTCCCAGGATTTCAGCGCTCCCAGGGTTTGGGTGGAATTGTGGCTCAGCTCCTCACAGCTCACCCCTGGAAGCTCCTCCTGGAATGGGAATCCTGGGATGGTTTGGGTGGGAATGGGTGATCCAGGGTTCCCGAGGTTTTGTTGGAATTGTGGCTCAGCTCCTCACAGCTCACCCCTGGAAGCTCCTCCTGGAATGGGAATCCTGGGATGGTTTGGGTGGGAATGGATTATCCAAGGCTCCTGAGGTTTGGAATTGTGGCTCAGCTGCTCACACAAAATGGGATTGAACTTCTCTTGTGATCCTCCCTTGAAGAAATGAAGGAAAAATTAGAGAAAAAAAAAGGCAAATATTTAATTAATGAGGTAATTGTATCCCACTGAAATTCCCAAACTGTTCCAACAAGAGATTTCAGCTTGGAGGAAGCCATTCCCCTGGGAGCTCTTTCTGGAATGGGAATCCTGGGATGGTTTGGGTGGGAATGGGTGATCCAGGGTTCCCGAGATTTTGTTGGAATTGTGGTTCAGCTCCTCACAGCTCACCCCTGGAAGCTCTTTCTGGAATGGGAATGCTGGGATGGTTTGGGTGGGAATGGGTGATCCCATGCCATGGAAGTGTCGTTGGAGCAGCCTGGCTTAGTAGGAGGTGTCCTTGCCTTCGGAATTCCATGAATTACGCATCCAAATCCTTCTCCCTGCTCTCCCAAGTTTTCCCATGGTTTGTGGGAGTTGCAAATTGCGAAATCAGCATTTTGGGCTTTTAGCAAAGCACGTTTTGAACTCCCAAAAAAAAGCAACAAATGGCAAAAAAAGCATCACTTCCTAAATCATCAAATCGATGGGAAGGACATTAAAGCTCTTCCCATTCCATGGGCAGGGAAACCTTCCAGTATCCCAGGGTGCTCCAAGCCCCATCCAGTCTGGAATATTCCAGGGATGGCAGAACCAGTGGCAGGGCTGGTTTGTGGCTCTTGGAGAGGATGATGGATGTTCCCAGCCCTGACCACCAGCCAGAGCTGCCAGCACTTTGGATGCTGTGGAATATTTGGGGCGATTTGATGTGACAGGCACATTCTTCTCCCTCTCAGGATTTTTTCATAGAGGAGCACAGAGAGAAGAAAAAGAAAACAGTTTCTATTTCTGCTCCTTGTTTTTCCCATGTGGAATGTGTTTGGAGAATTGTTTACCTGGGGTGATTGCTTGGTTGGATCCTGGTGAGGATTGTTTGAGCCTGGTGGCCAATCCAACCCACCTGGGGCTGGGCTCTCAGAGAGGGTCACAAATTGTGAGTGTGTTAGATTTGGGAGTTAGAAAAAGCAGGTTTGTAGTTTTAGTATCTCCTTTAAATAGTGTATTAATGTATTTTAGTATGGCTATAATAAAGAAATCATTCAGCCTTCTGAACTGAGTCAGACATTGTCATTTCTGCCCAGTGGGTTCACCTGCATTTCCAACAGGTTGGTTTTGTTTTCCCAGCCCCGCTGATTCCTCCCTTTTCCCTGCATTCCCAGGTCTCCTGTTCACCTACGGAGTGACGGGCAGCGGGAAGACCCACACCATGACAGGATCTCCTGGGGACGGGGGGCTGCTGCCCCGCTGCCTGGCCATGATCTTCAACAGCATCGGCCCCTTCCAGGCCAAGAGATTCGTGAGTGGCTCCCCTGATCCTCCCCACAGCCCCAAATCCGTGGATTTCTGCTCCAAACCTGACACTGGAGGGCTTGGAAGAGAAAAAAAAAAAAAAACAACAATGCCAAGGGCCTTGTTCCAAAAGGATTTGAATTTCTGGGAATGCTTTTAAAGCATTCAGTGGTTTGGTGCTCATTGCCCAAGGCCATCCTAGGAAAAAATCTGTTAAAAACACATGGGAAGGAATCCAGCCAGGAATATTTCAGTATGGATGGCCAAGGTGTTCCCTTCATCGTTAAGATGGGTTATTAATAAGCATATCTTTAATTAATTAGGCAGTTGTGTCCCTCTGAAATTCCCAATCTATTCCTGCTGTTCTAACAGGTGATTTCAACATGGAAGAAGCCATTCCATAGCTTTTTTTTTTCCCCTGGAAACAGTGGAAAACACTGGTTTGGTGCTCTATATTCCATATTATTCTACTTCATTTTAGTAATTCCCATAAAACCAAAAATTAATTGTCTCCTCATGAAATTAGGGATGTTTTTCCAAAGGCGTGCACTTGTGGTACCTAAAATACACTGAAATAATCCTGGAATTCTCATCCTTGGGAGCTTTTCTAAAACATTATTTTGCAAATTGTTCTTGTCAGATCTTGCTGGGTCGGAGTTCTTTTGAGTGGCATGGTATTAATAAATTAATACCAGCCTAATCAGACTAAATAATTAATCAAATAATGCTTTGTTGGCCAGCACCTGGATGTTGGAATGGGATGAAATTCCTGGTTTTTCCCTCAGGTTTTCAAGCTGGATGACAAGAACGGGGTGGATGTGCAGAGCGAGGTGGAGGCTCTGCTGGAACGCCAGAGGAGAGAGGCGCTGCCCACCCCAAAAACTCCAGCTGGGAAGTGAGTGACTCTGGGAATAGCAGAGGGAATTTATTCCCTAGAAATGCCATTTAACTTCTCTTGGGCTCTTCCCTTGAAGAAATGGAGGAAAAATTGGGAAAAAAATCGGCAAATATTTAATTAATGAGGTAGTTGTATCCCACTGGAATTTCCAATCTATTCCAGCTGTTCTAACAAGAGATTTCAGCTTGGAGGAAACTTTCCCCCCTCAGAATTTTGGGGCTTTTCTCCCCTCAGAACTTTGGGGCTTTTCCCCCCTCAGAATTTGGGACATTTTCCCCCTCAGAATTTGGGACCTTTTTCCCCTCAGAATTTTCGGACATTTTCCCCCTCAGAATTTTCGGACATTTCCCCCCTCAGAATTTTCGGACATTTCCCCCCTCAGAATTTTCGGACATTTTTTCCCCTCAGAATTTGGGACCTTTACCCCCTCAGAATTTTTGGTCATTTTTTCCCCCTCAGAATTTGGGACCTTTTCCCCCTCAGAATTTGGGACATTTTTTCCCCTCAGAATTTTTGGACATTTTCCCCCTCAGAATTTTCGGACATTTTCCCCCCTCAGAATTTTGATCTTTTCCCCCCAGAATTTGAAAGGGATCTTCAAGCTGATATTGTCCCATGGGCAGGGTCATTAATAATAATAATTAGTAAAATATTAACAGGAAATGAGTGTGTTTGAGCAGTTCTGTAGGTGAGCAGGGTTAGACTCAGCCTATTTCTTGTACCTGTTTAGCCAGGACTAAAACCCCGTGGCACTGAGTAAGAATCCAGCTCTGTGAAGCCTCTCCAGCAAATTCCAGTGAAGTTCAGTTTGGAGATGTTTCCATAGAACCACAGAATTCCCTCAGCTGGATCATGGGATTCCCACCGTGGAATTCCCTCAGTTTGATCATGGAATCTCCACCATGGAATTCCAACTATGGAAGTTCCTCAGCTGGATCATGGAATTTCCACTGTGGAATTCCCTCAGTTTGATCATGGAATCTCCACCATGGAATTCCAACCATGGAAGTTCCTCAGCTGGATCAGGGAATTTCCACAGTGGAATTCCCTCAGCTGGATCATGGAATTTCCACCATGGAATTCCCTCAGCTGGATCATGGAATTTCTATCATGGAATTTCCACCATGGAATTCCCTCAGTTGGATCGTGGAATTTCCATCATGAAATTCCCTCAGTTGGATCATGGAATTCCAACTGTGGTATTCCCTCAGTTGGATCATAATCTTCCAACCATAGGCAGTCCTCAGTTGGATCATGGAATTTCTACCATGGAATTCCCTCAGTTGGATCAGGGAATTCCCTCAGTTGGATCATGGAATTCCAACTCCTGGCCCTGCACAGGACCCCCCCAGAATTTGGGAATTTTGCTGAATATATCGCGCGTTTGGCCACCCAACCCCACAAATCTGCACCGAGCCGCCCCCGGCGCGTTCTGGCTGCCGGGAATTCCATCCCCAGTCCCTCCATTTTCCTCAGGAGGCAGCTGGATCCCGAATTTGCCGACATGATCGACGTGCAGGATCACTGCCGGGTGGAGGAGGTGGACGAGGACAACGTCTACGGCGTCTTCGTGTCCTACATCGAGATCTACAACAACTACATCTACGACCTGCTGGAGGAGGCTCCCTGTGACTCCATCAAACCCAAGTGAGTTGGGAAATCCGGGATTTTCCCAGGCTGGGCTTGGGAATCGATGCCAAGCCGCTGGAAGAGGTTTGGGATGAGAGCAATGGAATGAGAGCAATGGCTGTGTCCTGTTCCAACATCCACCATCTACTTTGAGCCCACCAAACCCAAGGGAGTTTGGGAATTCCCATATTCCCAGTCCTGGGAGGCTTTTGTAGGATCCTCCACCCTGGTTTTTTCGTTCTAACCATAGGGAGGTTGGCTCATAATTCCTGGGAATCACTGTTAAGAACACATGGAAAGGATTCCAGCCAGGAATGTTTCAGTACTGATGGCCAAGGTGCTCCCTTCCTTGTTAGGCTGGGTGATTAGTAAGCAAATATTTAAATAATTGGGCAGTTGTATCCCACTTAAATTCCCAACCTATTCTAACAGGTGATTTCAACTTGGAGCAAGCCATTCCATCGCTTTTTTTCCTTGGAAAAAGTGGAAAACACTGGTTTGGTGCTCCATATTATTCCACTTGATATCAGTAATTCCCATAAAACCAGAAATTTGGGATATTTTTTCCAAAGGTGTGCACTTGTGATGTCTAAAATCAATAGGAAAAGTCTGCAAATTCCACTTGGAATCCATGGATTGAAATTCCAACTCCATTAAAGGAGCCCCTCAGTCCTGTGTTAATTAGGGAGTGGTTGATTAACAAGGACTAACAAGGGCAAAGCAAATTGGGAGCTGTCTCCAGTGTCCTCATTCCAGAAGGGTTTGAAACTCTGGGAATGCTTTTAAACCATTCAGTGTTTATACAATGAATGGTTTAAAAGCATTTTAAAATAAAATGGCTTTTTAAACATTAAAATTTTAAACACTAAAATAAAATTTAAAAAAAAACTTTAAAAATTAAAAGCTGCTTATTCCCAAAGCCCACCCTAAAAAAAAAAAAAAAATCTGGGATGATTTCTCCCTCTGAAAGCTGCAGCGTGGAAAGATTTGAGGCAGACATCAAGGATTTAATATTTTTCCCCGTTTTTTTGGTAGGTGGAACAATTGCAACACTCCTGTGAGAAATGGAGACTTTGTGTATGTGTCCAATGTCTTATTCCCATTATTCCAGTGCTGTTTTCCTTTGGTAGAAGCGGAAATTCCCTGCCTTTCCTTGCTTTCCTAGGAAAACTAGGATGCTCTCCTTGCTTCTGTGTGCTTGTAGAAAAGCAATAGCTGCCACCAAAGCAATTAATTGCAATTAAATAGCTACTAATTAGAGCGGTAGCTGGAGTGTCACTAATCCTGGCTGTGTGTCCATGTCCTGTATTCCCTCTTCCATCTTTTAGATGGATAATTGACCTTTTCCCTCTGAATTTTTGATGTTTTCCCCTCACAATTTTGACCTTTTCTCCCTGCATTTTGACCATTTTTCCCTCAAAATTTTGGATGATTTTCCCTCAGTATTTTTGAACTTTTTCCTTCAGATGTGTGACATTTTCCCTCCAAATTCTGAGTTTTCCTTCTGAATTTTGTCCATTTTCCCCTCATAATTTTTGACCTTTTCCCCCTGAATTTTGACCTTTTTTCCCTCAGAATTTTGGATGATTTTCCCCTCAGAATTTTGACCTTTTCCTCCTGAATTTGGACATTTTCCCCTCAGACTTGTGACATTTTCCCTCCAATTCTGAATTTCTTCCCTCGGAATATTTGGGCATTTTTCCCTCGGAATATTTGGGCATTTTTCCCTCGGAATATTTGGGCATTTTTCCCTCGGAATATTTGGGCATTTTTCCCTCGGAATATTTGGGCATTTTTCCCTCGGAATATTTGTACATTTTCCCCTCAGCATTTTTGAGCATTTTTCCCTCAGAATTTTTGGACATTTTCCCCTCAGACTTGTGACATTTTTCCCTGCAAATTCTGAATTTTTTCCCTCCAAGTTTTGACCTTTTCCTGCTGAATTTCGCCCTCCAAGAAAATCTGCATGGCAGGAAGCTGCACAGAGAATTCCTCTCCAGTGGAATTTACTTATTTTCCCTCTTTCCCACCATCCCAAAGACCTCCCCAGTCCAAAATCCTTCGGGAAGACCAGAACCACAACATGTACGTGATGGGCTGCACCGAAGTGGAGGTCAAATCCACAGAGGAAGCTTTTGAAGTCTTTTGGAGAGGTAAAAATCTTGGAATTAATTCGGGGCTGATCCCACATCCCAGCACCTTAAATGTTATCCACGAGCGAGGAAATTCCGCTGGATCAGCTCCATCCTTGGGATGGAGCATCCACAGCTTCTCCGGGCATTTAGGGCCTCCCCATTCCCAACCCTTCCCAATATCCTCACACCCTGATGCTGGAGGAGGTGGGAATGGTGGGGAAGCAGCAGGATTTTTGGGAATTTGGGTTGTTTGAGCAGGGCAGAAGAAGCGGCGCATCGCCAACACGCAGCTGAACCGGGAATCCAGCCGATCCCACTCCGTGTTCATCATCAAACTGGCACAGGCTCCTCTGGATGCTGATGGGGACAACGTGCTCCAGGTGAGCTCCAGGGAATTCCAGGAGAATTCCAGAAGAATTTAATGGAATCTACCTTGGAAACAGTTCCCCGTGCCTCAAGTTTGGAGGTGACAGAGTTAATCATAAAGCTCGGTGTTAAAACAGAGGGTGGAGCTGCTGATTCCTTTGGTTTTCACCTCTTCCTTTTTTTGGGAATCTCAAATTTGGGAATTGGAATGATCCAACAGCTTTCAATGCTGCGGCCCAAGGCAGAAGGGATCTGCCAAACCTCCCAAAACCAGCTTTTGGCTGTCCCAACCCCTCTGAGCTCATATCCGACACATTCTTTGGAAGGGGGTTTTGGGATGAGGTGTCCCCCAGCCCTTCAGAGGGAATCTGGAGGGATCCAGGATTTCTTCTGTGTCCCAGGAAAAGGAGCAGATCACCCTGAGCCAGCTGTCCCTGGTGGATCTGGCGGGAAGTGAGAGAACCAACAGGACCAAAGCCGAGGGGAACAGGCTGCGGGAGGCAGGTAGGAACCCCCCCGGAGCACCCTGCTAATTAACCCTGCTAATTAAGCTCCTGCTAATCCTGTCTCCTAGGGAAGAATCCCAGGAATTCTTGAAGTGCTCTGTTAGGATCAGTTAGGATTTGATGACCTCAAATTGTGTTTGGAAACCACAAGTTTGCTGAAGCACTTCTGCCACTTGAGTTAATTAGAGCAGTTATTAACAAATATTGTTAATTAGGCAATTTATTCTTCTGACTAATCTGGGAACGTGATCCAAGGGCTTCTCGTGGAGTGATTTTTTTCCTTGTGTTTGCTTTTTTTAGGGAATATCAACCAGTCATTGATGACATTGAGGACGTGCATTGAGGTTCTGCGGGAAAACCAATTGTACGGAACAAACAAGGTGGGCAACCCTTCCCTAATTATCCTTGGATTTCATCACCTGGATAAGGAAAACTCAGGGGATCTTCCCTGGCCTTTATTCCCAGATGGTTCCATACAGAGATTCCAAACTGACTCATCTCTTCAAGAACTATTTCGATGGGGAAGGGAAAGTTCGGATGATCGTGTGTGTGAATCCCAAGGCTGAGGACTATGAGGAAAGCCTGGTAAATTCCCTTTTTCCATCCCCTCCTGCTCTTCTTTTCATGTTTTTCCCTGGATTCTTGTACTCCAAGAGATATAAAGAATTATAATTGTTGTGTGTGCACTTCAGTTTTGTGGGATAAATCTGCTCTGCAAGTCCTGGTTTTCCTGTTCATATTTCACCTGCTCCTTGCTTGGAAAGCGGGAAAGGTTTTCCTTCCTCACAGAATTCTTGGTAAATTCCCTTTTTCCATTCCCTCCTGCTTTTCTTTTTGTGTTTTTCCCTGGATTTTTATACTCCAAGAGATGTAAAGAATTATAATTGATATTTGACCACATCAGTTATAATTTTGTGGGCTACATCTGCTCTCCAAGTCCTGTTTTTGCTATTCATATTACCTCTGCTCCTTGCTTGGAAAGTGGGAAAGGTTTTCCTTCCTCACAGAATTCCACGGAGCCACATTTGGCTGTTTAATCCCTCCTATTCCAAGAATTCCAGCTGTCTCTGCCCAAGCTTTTGTGGCACCTTGTGGGGAGGTTTCTGGAAGATCCCAAACCGTAGCTGCTTGCGATTCCAGCCGGATAATTCCTCCTTTCCCGCTTCAGTGCCTCTGTCCCGCTCCCAACCCCAGCTCCCGGTGCTCCTGGTGTTTTTTCCTTGTTTTCTTGCAGCAAGTGATGCGTTTTGCAGAGATGACCCAGGAGGTGGAGGTGGCCAGGCCCCTGGACAGGCCCCTGTGCGGGCTGACCCCGGGGCGGCGCCTCCGGAACCAGGCGTTCCGGGAGGAGCTGTCCCGCAAGCTGGAGCTCAGGGGCGGCCCCGTGGGATCAGGTGAGGGAATTCCGCTCTGGGAATCTTCACCTGGGAAAGGGAAGGATTCAGGGAAAATTTAGAGAGCCTTCCGAGGTTCAAAGGGGCTCCAGAAGGGATTGGGATAAGGGATGGAGGGACATCGCACAGGGAATGGATTCAAACTGGAAAATGGGAAATTTGGGTGGGATCTTGGGGAAGATTTTCTGGCTGTGAGGGTGAGGAGGAGCTGGGATGGAATTCCCAGAGAAGCTGTGGCTGCCCCTGGATCTCTGGAAGTGTCCAAGGCCAGGTTGGAACGCGGAATGATGAGAGGTGTCCTTCCCCATGGAACAGGATCACTTTGAGGTCCTTTCCAGCCCAAACCATTCCATGATTCCAGTGGAGTTTTTCTGTTAGGAATTAAAGGCTGGGAATTAAATTTTAAATCAATTCCACTGAGCCTTAACTGTACCAGGCTGAACCTCAGTGCCCTGGGAGCTGCTGCTCTTCCCTCTTCAGTATCCCTGTGGAAGTTTCCAAGGAATTCCATGGGATTGGGATGAATCCATGGCCCCAGTATTGCAGCTCCTGACAGAAAATTGTGCCAAGGAAACTGGGATGTTCCTGGATGTTCAGAACCTGCTTTTAGTAAAACAAGGAATTGAAGATGTCACATTTAATCCTTTGCCATCCATCCTCTCTTTGGAAACCCATAGATCCCATCAATCATTCCCAGTTTTCCACGGTCCTGCCTCTTTCCCTTTGGAATTTTCCCATCCTGCTGACGGATTTTCCATCCTGCAGGACCGGAGGAGCCATCTCCTGCTGAGCTGTTCTTCCAGAGCTTCCCTCCCCTTCCTTCCTGCGAGCTCCTGGATATCAACGACGACCAAACCCTCCCAAAACTGATCGAGGCCCTGGAGCAGCGCCACAAAATGAGGCAGATGCTGGCTGAGGAATTTGCCAAAAACGGTAGGAATTTGCCCCAAGTTGGAACATCAGGGCAAAACTCAGATTTGGTGCCCTTATTATTCCTCAAAGGATCACCCTTGTCCCAGTTTTCTTGTTTAGATTGATTGTTTCAACCTTTTGTTTTTGTTTTTTTTTGAGGAACTTTAGGGTTTAAATCTGTTGGGAAAAACAGAGGTTTGGATGTTCTGGGAATAAGGGAGAAAATTAGAGAAAAAATATTAAATATACCGTTTTTCTTCCAGTTCATGCCTTTAAAACAATGCTGCAAGAATTTGACTCCAGTGTTGCATCCAAGGAAAATTATATCCAAGGAAAACTGGCTGAGAAGGAGAAAACCATAACAGGGCAGAGGACGGAGCTGGAACGGCTGGAGAAGAAGATTAAAACCTTGGAGTACAAGGTTAGCTGGGTCATTTTGGAGCACAAATCCCATTTTTTTTTTTAAATGGATCGTTTGGCAAATTCCTTGCCATCGGGAATAAATATTTTGGGGGAAACTTCTACTGAAAATTTGTTGGCTCTTTTACAAGGTGAGGTTTTTAAAACAGCAGAACGAGCGATTTAGAACCGAAAATTGAGATTTCCTGGGAAATACAGGCAGGAATTGCTGGATTAGAAGGTCGTGTTCCCACCCAAATCCTTCCTCTCCTCCTGCAGATTGAGATTTTGGAGAAGACAGCCACGATTTACGAGGAGGACAAGAGGAACCTGCAGCAGGAGCTGGAGAGCAAGAGCCAGAAGCTGCAGCGGCAGGCGTCGGACAAGAGGAGGCTGGAGGCCAGGCTGCAGGGAATGGTGGCCGAGACCTCCCTCAAGTGGGAGAAGGAATGTGTGAGTGCAGGAATGGGGGAAAAGCAGGATCAAATTAGCGGGGATTTGGGGATTTGGGGTGTGGGATGCTCTTAAGGAGGGATTTGTTGGTCTGGTTGGTTTTTGTGCGGATTCTGGGGAAGGGGAAAGGAATTGAAGAGAAGGGAAAGAAGGAAAGGGAAGGGATGGAATGGAAGAGAAGGGAAAGAAGGAAAGGAAAGAGATATGGGATTTAAGAGAAGGGGAAGAAGGAAAGGAAAGGGATATGGGATTTTTAAGAGAAGGGGAAGAGAAGGGGAAGAGAAGGGGAAGGGAAGGGAAGGGAAGGGAAGGGAAGGGAAGGGAAGGGAAGGGAAGGAAAGGAAAGGAAAGGAAAGGAAAGGAAAGGAAAGGAAAGGAAAGGAAAGGAAAGGAAAGGAAAGGAAAGGAAAGGAAAGGAAAGGAAAGGAAAGGAAAGGAAAGGAAAGGAAAGGAAAGGAAAGGAAAGGAAAGGGAAGGAAAGGGAAGGGAAGGTGTTGGGCTCTGCTTCCAGGGAACAAGGACAGGAGGAGAGAGAACAGCCTCAGGGTGGATCCTGGGAAAATTCCCTCATGGAAAGGGTTGTAAACATTGGAACTGCCCAGGGATGTTTGGGATCCCCATCCCTGGAGGTATCCAAGGAACACGTGGATGTGGCACTCAGGGCTCCAGGCTGGGCTCAGACTCAGCTTGGTCTCGCTGATCCTGGCAGCTTTTCCAGCCTCAGCAATTCCATGTTTTCCACTGCGTTCCCTGTCCCTGCAGGAGCGGCGGGTGGCAGCCAAGCAGCTGGAGATGCAGAACAAGCTGTGGGTGAAGGACGAGAAGCTGAAGCAGCTCAAGGCCATCGTCACCGAGCCCAGAGCCGAGAGGCCAGAGAGGCCATCCCGGGAAAGGGAGCGGGAAAAGGCTCTCCCGAGATCCGTGTCGCCTTCCCCTGCGCCCGTGAGTCACTCCCAAACCTGCTGGATTGAGGAAACAGCATTTTTAGGGATGAAGCTCAGGGATTTTAGTCATTAGTAGCCCCCAAGCACAGAGTTGGAGCAGCTTGCTTTGAGTTCCTTGTCTGCTGTTTGTTCTTCATCCATTCTCCCACCTCCTGATATCCTCAGGATTAAAAATCCCTGGATTTTTCTGTCCCTGTTTGCTTGGAGTCTCCTGTATTTCACTGCTCTCTCCCTTTTCCAGAGATCCGAGCTTTCAGCCCAGAGTTGGAGCAGCTTGACTTCCTTTAATTCTGTTTGTTCTCCATCCCCTTTCCCACCTCCTGATATCCATAGGAGCAGGAAATCCCTGGATCTGTCTGTCCCTGTGTCTCACTGAGGTTTCCCTTCTTCCCAGAGCTGGGATGTCCCTGCTGAAGTTTGAGCCCCGAGCTGGAGCACCTTGAATTCCTTGTCTTGTCTGTTCATTGTTTAGCCATTCTCCCACCTCCTGATATCCATAGGAACAGGAAATCCCTGGATCTGTCTGTCCCTGCATGGCATCCCTGTTTGATTTCTCAACACCTCACTGATGTTTCCCTTCTCTCCAGAGCTGTGGTGACCCTGCTGAGCTTGGGGACAGAGTTGGAGCAGCTTGAATTCTCTGTGTCCTGTTTGTTCTTCATCCATTCTCCCTTCTCCCACGCCCTGATATCCACAGGAACTGGAAATCCCTGGATTTGTCCCTGTCTGATCCCTCCTGTGTCTCCCTGCTCTCTCCCCTCTTCCCAGCGCTGTGACATCCCTGCTGAAGTTTGAGCCCTGAGTTGGAGCAGCTTGAATTCCTTGTTCCTCTGTTCTTCATCCATTCTCCCACCTCCTGCTATCCACAGGAACGGGGAATCCCTGGATTTGTCTGTCCCTTTGTTTGCTTGGAGTCTCCGTGTCTCACTGCTCTCTCCCTTCTCCCCAGAGCTGTGGTGACCCCGCTGAGCTCGGGGACAGCCGGGCGGCCCCGCGGGCGCCCAGGCGCTCCAACTCTTGCGGCAGCATCTCTGTGGCCTCCTGCGTGCTGGAGTGGGAGCAGAGGGGCCCTTCCTGCGAGCCAGCCAGCATTCCCAAAGCCAGGAATAAAGCGGGAGCGGAGCCGGGCTCGGCCTGGCCCAGCCCTGCCAGGAGGAGAGGGATGTGCTGGAGCCGAGTGCTGGAGGTGCCCAGGGATAGAGAGGAGCTAGAGCAGGAAGAGGATCCGTCCTGCAGGGTTAGTCCTGGCCCAGTGGGGCTGAGCCTGGCTTAAAGGTTCTCTGTCCTCGAGCCCATCGTAGAGTAGAGCTGTTCCTAATGTGTCCTGCTGGTCCCAGACTGAGCCTGGCTGCTCTCGCCGCCCTCTTGGTGTTTGGAGCTTCCTTGGAAGTTGAGAATTCCCACTTTTAGGGAGCTCGGAGGTGGCCACACTCTGCTCTAGCCATGGGTGTCCTCATGTTTCTCCCGGCGTGTTTCCCTCTTCCCGGTGTTTCCCTTTTCCTTTCCCTCTCCCTTGTGTCTCCTCCAATCCCTCCTGCACTTTCCCAGCTTCCAAGGTGCTTCTGGGAGCTTGTCCTGCCTGGAAGCATCCCTTGGATAAACCTCTTGTGTGCCTCAGCTTTAACTCTCTTCCCTAATTCCCATTAAACCGGGAGCTCTGGAATTATTTGGCTCCTGATGGTGTCTTGAAGATTCAGTCCAAGAGCACTTTAGGAAAGCAGATGGGGACAATCCCTTCCTTTGTCCCCTGCTTCCTCAGTGTGGAATGCAACAGATTGGACCAAAATTCCCAAGAAATACGGCTTGACATGGAATATTCCGTGGATATTCCGATGCCAAGCTCATGGTGGTGCCTTCAGGATTCAATCCAAGAGCACTTTAGGAAAACCGAGCAGGACAATCCCTTGGGCTGGTGCTGTTGGTTTGGAAATTTGGGAGGAGCTTTCCCAAACTTGAGGAAACTTAATGGAATGTGGCAGATGGGACAACACTGGGATAAAATTTCCATGAAACAGGAGTTGGCCTGGAGTATTCCATGAATAATTTAATGCCCAAAAAACAAGAGTTGACCTGGAATGTTCCATGGATAATTCGATGCCAAGCTCTTTGTGGTGCTCTCAGGATCCAACCTAAGAACCGATCCATTGCCTTTCCCACACCCATCCCTTTCCTGTGCTCATTCCCAGTGCCCATTCCATGTTCTCATTCCCAGTGCCCATTCCATGTTCTCATTCCCTGTTCCCATTCCAGACCACTCCAGTGGCACCGCTGCATCCGCGGCATTTCCGCAGTGCCGGGGAGCACTGGTTGGATCACCAGCCCCTATCCCTGCCATTCCCCGTGCCTGTTCCCATTCCTCATTCCCCGTGCCTGTTCCCATTCCCCGTTCCCGTTCCCCGTTCTCATTCCCCGTTCCCATTCCAGAGCGCTCCGGTGGCGCCGCTGCGGCCGCGGCGTTCCCGCAGCGCGGGCGAGCGCTGGGTGGATCACCGGCCGCCGTCCCACGTGCCCACGGAGACGCTGCTGCAGCCGCGCGTGCCCAGGGCCATCACCGTGGACGCCCCCAGCGAGCGCGCCCTGGCCCGCTGCGACCGCTACCTGCTGACCCACCAGGAGCTCGCCTCCGACGGGGAGATCCAGACCAAGCTCATCAAGGTGACCTCGGGAATCCCGGGAATGTTGGCAGCGTTGTGCTGGAATGGCCAGAATTTTGTTTAAATTACCCAAGGAATTCCTGGATGTGGCACTCGGCGCTCCAGGCTGGGGTCGAGGTTGAGATATCCAGAGTGAACTCATCATAGTGACCTTGGGAATGTTGTGTTGGAATCGCTGGAATTTCGTTTAATAACCAAAGGAATTCCTGGATGTGGCACTCGGCGCTCCAGGCTGGGAGTGAGGTTGAGATATCCAGAGTGAACTCATCATAGTGACCTTGGGAATGTTGTGTTGGAATTGCTGGAATTTCATTTAAATAACTGAAGGAATTCCTGGATGTGGCACTCAGCGCTCCAGGCTGGGGGCAAGGTTGAGATCCAGAATCAGCTGGATCAAAGTGACCTTGGGAATGTTGGGAATACTGTGTTGGAATTGCCGAAGTTTGGTTTGGATCTTTCATGGTTAGGTCCAGAGGTTTTCCATAGAAATTCTTGGTTTGGATCTTGGTTGATGTATGCTCAGTGTTTTCCATCAGAAATTCAGTGGGAATTTTTTCATGGAAAATGGTGCTCAGGCAGTGGAGTTGCCCAGGGAGGTTTGGAGTGCCCATCCCTTGGTAATGCCCAAGGAATTCCTGGATGTGGCACTCAGTGCTCCAGGCTGGGCACAAGGTTGAGATCCAGACCGAGCTCATCGAAGTGACCTTGGGAATCTTGGGAATGTTGCTTTGGAATCTCTGAAATTTAGTTTGGAATTTTCACAGCTGGGTTCCATGATTCATGAATCGCGTGGTTTGTGGAATTCCATGGGTTGTGGGATTCCATGGTTTGTGAAACCCACAATTTATGGGGTTCCATGATTTTTGGGATCCCGTGATCAGTGGATCCCACGATTTGTGCATTTTCCTGTGGAAAAAGGCAACAATCCATTGGCAGTGAAATGGGAGGAGCTTATTTGTGTCTGTGTCTCTTTGGGCTGGAATTCTGGGATGAATCCCGGTGTTGTTCCTCTCCCAATCCCGTTTTTCCTTGTCCTTTTCCCATTCCAGGGGGACGTGTTCAAGACCAGAGGTGGGGGCCAGGCCGTGCAGTTCACGGACATTGAGACCCTCAAGCAGGAATCTCCCACCGGGTGAGTCCAGCCTCTGGAATCCTGGAATTCCCAGAATTCCAGTCGTGGTACCTTTTATTTGAGCTTTTGGAATCCTGGAATTCCCAAAATTCCAGTCGTGGTACCTTTCTTTCATTTGAGCTTCTGGAGTCCTGGAATTCCCAAGGTTCCAACGACGGAGCCTTTAATTTGAGCTTCTGGAATTGTGGAATTCCAGGTGTGTTCATGGAACCTTTTCCAGGCCAAATGATCCAATGGGAAAATCCAACTTGAAATCCCATAAACTTGGAGAAATTTATGGCTGCTGGAGCTGCTTGATCCAAGATTTATTAAGGAACACTAAAGAGCTTTTCCGGTGTTGGAATTTGGCAAATTCCATGAGGTTTGTGCTGTAATTCCACCAATTCCCGTTCCAGGCGGAAGCGCCGCTCATCGCCTCCCAATCCCGACCCCGCCGGGGACGCCGCGGACTCGGAATGGACGGATGTGGAAACCAGGGTGAGCCGGGAATGTCATCCTGGATCCTGGAATTCTGGGTTGGGTTGGGAGGGAGCTCCAGCTCATCCCAATCCAGCCATTCCATCAGCCATTCCCACTGTCCCCGGCTGCTCCATCCAGCCTGGCCTTGGACATTCCGGGGTGGGGGATCCAAACCCCTCTGGCTGAGGATTTGGGAATGCTGGGAGCTGGGAAGGGTGGGAAGCAGTGGATCCTGACTGTGGTTGTATTCCCAGTGTTCCGTGGCCGTGGAGATGAGGGCGGGATCGGCGCTGGGACCGGGATTCCAGCACCACGCCCAGCCCAAGTGAGTGCTCCTGGAATTCTTTCCCGACAACTTCCAAACTTCGGGAATGCTTTCCCCCCTTGACTTTGCTGCCCTTCCCACATCAGGTTTGCATTCCGAAGTGGAATATCAGGAATGGCAGTGGGAATGCCCTGGATTCCCTCTCCCGCCCCTTTAACCTTTTGCTCTCATTATCCATTGGGAAGTTCCAGTTTCTCGGGATTGGGAAGTTCCAGTTTCTTGGGATTCCAGTTCCCTTTGGGAAGAAGGAATTGCGGTCGAATTCCTGCTAAAATTGCGACTGCATAATTATGGAACCACTAAGGAATCCTGGAGAATTCCCTCTTTCCCAAATTATTCATAAGGCATCCTTGGGAATTCCAGCTCCGTGCCCGGCTCGAGGAAGTGCTCCTGGAATTCTTTCCTGACAAATTCCAAACTTCAGGAGTGTTTTTCCCAGCTTTACAGCCCTTCCCACTCTGGGTTTTCATTCCTGACTGGAATAGGGTTGGGAATGGGAGCGGGCATGGCCTGGATTCCCTCTCCTGGACCTTCAACCTCTTACTGACGTTATCCATTGGGAAATTCCAATTCCCTGTGGGAAGAGGGAATTGAGGAATTGGAATCCAACTTGGTTTGCTACTCCTGCCTAAAAATCCAAGGAAAACACTGGATTTTATGGAGTTTCCTTGGATTAAATGTTGGATTTTTTAGGAGCTGTGTGTGGGAACTGGGAGTGCCAAAACCTGGGAATGGGGGGTTGGCTGCTCCCAAAATTCTTCTGGATGAATCCTGAAAGTTCTTTTTGTCTCTTTCCCATTGCAGGCGCAGGAAACCCTGAATTTTTCCTGCTGGAATCCAGGATTTTCCCAGCCTGAGGAATGCTCTGCTGCCACTGCTCCTCAGGAACTGCTTTGTGCTCATTCCCGGAGGTTTTTAGGGAAGCTGGGAAATGGTTCCATTGGTGATCCCAAAGAACTTCTGGATGGATCTGTCCTTTTCCATAGATTTAGGGAAATCCAAAAGGTCCCTCTGGAGTTCCAGATGGAGCTGGATCATTATCAACAGTGCCAGCAGGTTTTTCCCTGGGAGGCTTTTCCAGTGTTTTCCCAGTTTTTTTCATCCCAAATCCAACTTTTCCGGTCATTCCCTCTCTTTTGGGAGACCCAACCGCTGCTATTCCGAGCTGCAGTCCAGCACTTTAAGGGTGTTTTTGGCCATTCCCGATTTTACTGGAACCAGGAAAACCTTGGGAATACGGATTTCTTCTGGCAAGGATGAATTTGGAATATTTAAGTGTGTTACTGAGCTGCCAGAACATTCCAGAGTCACCCAAAATCCCAGGAACAGTGGGAATTCACATCCCAGCTGCTTTAGGGTGTGAGGGAATTCTGGAATGTTTTCCATATGGGAATGGGGGGGAAAGGGGATTTCCTCACGGGTAGGGTGGGAATTGGCTCTCTGTGTGTCCCTGCAAGATGTTCAATAAATCCTTTTATTCCAAACCCTCTTCCTGGTTTTCAGGGAATTCCAAGGGGAGCAGCTTCCCTGGCTTTGCAGAAAACCGGGATCTGAGGGGGTTTTTTGGGATGGTAAATCCTGGGATCTGCTTGGATCCTGAGGTGGGGTTGGGACAGTTTTACCCTCTGTTCTGCAAAGGGACTCTGGAGACATCCGGGGCCATTTTGAGGGATTGCCTCGATCCAAGGGTTTCCAACCCTTGGAAAAGCTTTTCTTCCCGAGGTTTGAGATCCTCAAATCCCAGAAGGGCTTGGATTGGGTTTGGAAGGGATTTTAAAGCTCATCCCAAGGGCAGGGACACCTCCCACTATCCCAGGGTGCTCCAAGCTGGCCTTGGATATTCCAGGCATCCAGGGGCAGCCACAGCTTCTCTGGGAATTCCATCCCAGCCAGGAATTCCTTCCCAGTATCCCACCCATCCCTGCCCTCTGGCAGTGGGAGCCATTCCCTGTGTCCCGTCCCTCCAGGCCTTGTCCCCAGTCCCTCTCCAGCTCTCCTGGAGCCCCTCCAGGCCCTGGAATGGCTCTGAGGATTCCCTGGATCCTTCCCCTCTCCAGGGGAACATTCCCAGGGCTCTGAGCCCTCCCTGGATCCTTCCCTTCTCCAGGGGAACATTCCCAGGGCTCTGAGCTCTGCCTGGATCCTTCCCTTCTCCAGGGGAACATTCCCAGGGCTCTGAGCTCTGCCTGGATCCTTCCCTTCTCCAGGGGAACATTCCCAGGGCTCTGAGGATTCCCTGGATCCTTCCCTTCTCCAGGGGAACATTCCCAGGGCTCTGAGCTCTGCCTGGATCCTTCCCTTCTCCAGGGGAACATTCCCAGGGCTCTGAGGATTCCCTGGATCCTTCCCTTCTCCAGGAGAACATTCCCAGGGCTCTGAGCCCTCCCTGGATCCTTCCCTTTTCCAGGGGAACATTCCCAGCTCTCCCAGCCTGGCTCCAGAGCTGAGGGGCTCCAGGATCTCGTCTGGAATTTCTCCAGCAGCTCCTGGTCCTCGCCCTGCCGGGATTCCAGAGCTCAGGGTGGGACAGGGAAAGCTTTTCCAGCCCTTCGGGAATTCCATGAGCTCCAGAGGCAGCTCCTGGCGGGATCCGTGGGAAGCAGCTCTCCCGGAGCGCCGCTAGATGGGGCAGGAAAACCACGGGAATGGCGCCGCTTCCCGAGCCTCCCTCTGCCCTGGGACTGGGAATGGATCCTGGGAATGTCCCTGTCTCCCGCGGGATTGGGGTTGGGATGGGGATTGGGGTTGGGATGGGGATAGGGATAACCACCGGGAATGACAAAGCTTCCCGAGCCTTTCCCGGTGGGAATCAGGGATAGGGAATGGATCCTGGGAATGTCCCTGCTCCCTCTTGCTGCTCTCCTGTGGGATTGGGGTTGGGATGGGGATAGGGATTGGGATGGGGATGGGGATGGGGATGGGGACTGGGATGGAGATAGGGATTGGGATGGGGATAACCACCGGGAATGGTGCTGCTTCCCAAGCCCTTCCCGGCGGGAATCAGGGACAGGGAATGACTCTGCCCTGAGACTCCTTGGAAAATCCCAGGGATTGGGATCGGGATAACCACTGGAAAACTCTGGGAAGGGCTCTTATTTGTGGGATTTAATGAGTTCATTAATCGTTAATGAGGAGCCGTCTCTTGGATTTGGATTCCATTATCCCAGCGGCAGGATAAATCCCATTGGGAATATTCCTGTGGAAAACTGGGATACACGAGGAACTGATGCTCATGGAGACGGTCTGGATACAGAGAAGGGTTGAAAAGCACTGGGAATTCTGAATCAGCTCCCTTGGATTTGACAATTTTATTTTTGTAATTTTATTTTACTTTTGTTTTTATTCTTATTTTTAATTAATTTTAATTTTAAATTTTCTTTTTATTTTAAAATTTTTCTTCTTATTTTAATTAATTTTAATTTTAATTTTATTTCTATTTTTTATTCTTAGTTTTAATTAATTTTAAATGTTAATTTTTAATATTTTTTCTTCTCATTTTAGTTCTTTTAATTTTGATTTTATTTCTATTTTCATTTTTTAAATTTTTATTTTAAATTAATTTTAAATGTTTATTTTATTTTATTTTAAAAATTTTTCTTCTTATTTTAATTCTTTTCATTTTAATTCTGATTTTATTTCTATTTTGATTTTTATTTTATTTTCCTCCAAAGCCTCGGCAAAGGGCAGAGGTTGAAGGGGAACCTTCAGCTCCAAAATCTCCAGGTTTTCCCAGACAGATCCTGGTCTCAATCCCTTTAATTCCAGGGAAATATCCCTTTATCCCAACCACCTTTATCAGGACAACGTGGGCAGCAAAATCCAAACGTTTATCCCAAAAATCCATCCCTGGAGAGCTGGAATTGCAAGGAGCGCTTTCTCCATGAGATGTCAGTGTGGCACCGGCATTCCCATCCCTGTTTTCCAGCAAACCATGGAAAACCTTGGATCAGCAGCGATTCCCAGCTCATTCCAGCTGGGAATGCTCTTCCCCTCATCCTGGAAAAAATGAGCAGGAAAAAGGAGTTCCTTGGAAAGGGATGAAGGGACAGGACACAGGGAATGGAAAACAGGATTTGGATGGAATACTGGGAAGGGATTTTCCCCTGGGAGGGGCTGGGGTGGAATTCCTGGAGAAGCTGGGGCTGCCTCTGGATCCTGGGAATGTTCCAGGCCAGGTTGGATGGACACTGGAACACGCTGGAATAGTGGGAGGTTCCCTGCCCATGGAATGGGATGGGATTTAATCCCTTCCCACCCACAGCATTCCATGACATTCCCATCCATGGATTTGTCCCCAGTGTCCTTAAAATGCCTTCAAGTGTCCCAGAGCCACTGGGAATGATTTTCACATTCCAGCCGAGCCGCCCTTGGCCAGAATTCCACACTTTTCCTAAAATCCCATCCTGAGCCTTCATTCCCGCTAGGATTTCTTTAAAATCCCATCCCGAGCCTTCATTCCCACTAGGATTTCTTTAAAATCCCATCCCGAGCCTTCATTCCCAGTAGGATTTCTTTAAAATCCCATCCCGAGCCTTCATTCCCGCTAGGATTTCTTTAAAATCCCATCCCGAGCCTTCATTCCCGCTAGGATTTCTTTAAAATCCCATCCCGAGCCTTCATTCCCAGTAGGATTTCTTTAAAATCCCATCCCGAGCCTTCATTCCCAGTAGGATTTCTTTAAAATCCCATCCCGAGCCTTCATTCCCAGTAGGATTTCCCCTTGGTGCCAATAAATGTCCCCATCCCAGCTTTTCCCGCATTCCCTGAACTCTCGGGAAGCAGTGATTGTTCCAAGGGGTCGGGAGCCGGGAGCGCCTGTCGGAGCCATCCCGGTGTGAATTCCCAGAAATAATCCTAACGGGAAGCGACGCTGTCGCCTCCCATCCGTCAGCCTGGCAGAGGCAATTGGCTCCGTCCTTTGGAATTATGGAAAGGACGGAGAAAATGGGAATTTCCTCAGCTGTTGGGAGCTGCCAAGTGGCTGCTCCATGGGAACGGAGCACCAGGATGAGGCCGGAGCCCGGAAACTCCCGGTGCCACCGGCAGCTCCCGGGGCTCGCTGGAATTCCACATTTTCCACCCGGGATTCCTTCCTGCTCCTTGTTTTCCCGGCCACTTCCATTGGGTTTTCCAGCCTTTTGCACTCCGGAATCCCAATTTTCACTCCAAAACTTTTGGCTCCTTATTTTTGCTCCCAAATTTTCTTCCTAAATCTTGGGTTTGGAATTTTTCCTACCAAATCTGGGCTCCGAACTTTTGCTCCTAACTTTTATTCCTAAACCTTTGGCTCCCTATATTTTGTTCCTAAATCTGGGATCCTCATCTTTTATCCTAAACCCTGGGCTCCTAGTTTTCCTTCCTAATCCTTGAACTTCTCATTTTCCTTCCTAAATCTGGGATCCTGATTTTTGTTCCCAAATCCCGGGCTCCTGGTTTTTACTCCTAAACCTTCCTTTATCCCAGGTTGTTCCAATTCCCATCCAACCTGACCTTGGACACTTCCAAGGATTCATCCACAGCTTCTTTGGGAAGCCTGTCCCAGTTTTTCCAAGGTTTCCCTCCAGTGGATATCCTGGGTGAGGATTCTCCTGCCTGGCCATGACCCCTGAGCATTTCCATCCCTCTCCAGCTTCCCTGGGATCCAATTAATCCATGGGATATTTCACGGATTGCTCATCCCTGCCCTAGGAGTGTTTTCCTAACCTTTCCCGTTGATCCAGCCACGTTTTTTCCATGTTGGGCCTCCCCCTCTTCCTCTGTGCTCCAGCAGACAGAGCAGCTTATCTGGAAAAGCAGGAAAAAATTCCCTAATCCCTCTTGAATCCTGGAATATCAGCAGGTAACAGCTTCAATATGGCACCAGGGCCTGGCCCGGGGTCACGGGGGGAGCAATAAGCCAAGCCTGGATTGAATTACTCCTGGGAAATTCCTTGATCCAACCTGATTAAAGCCTCATCCCATGGAACCAGGCGGTTCCTTTGGATATGGATCCAGGTTAGATGGAGCTGGAGCCCTGCCCACCCCACACAGCTCGTAAATTCCTTGGGATGTGCCGCAGCTCTGGAGATTTTTCCCTCCCTCTGCTCCCTCTGCTCACCCCACTTGGATCCCAAGACTTACCTGGGATGCACCTGGAATCTTTTTGGGTGAAATTTTGGGGGAAAACCCTCTCTGATCCTTCCTGGATGGGGACAAAGTGACTCCAAAACCTTGGTTTTCCAACCAGCTCCTTTGGCAGCGTGTCCAAGAGGGAAAAATATCCCTGCTTTTCAAGTGGAGCCAGGGCCAATGTAAATATTTATGGAATATTTTATTACAATCCCAATTTACCCCTTGATTGGAAACATTTCCTAATAACCCTCTGGAAAATCCAATTAAAGTGCAATTTAAGGGTTTTGCTTTGGGGTTTTTTTGGAGTCGCTGCTTTGCCAGGAATGTTGATCCATAGGTCGGGTGGAAAGTTTGGAACGTCAGCGGGGTTGGA